TGGTGTGCAGGTGGTAAGTCCATCAATCATTTTCCACATGGCATGACTCAGTTCAAACTTATCACTGTGGTCGAGGTTCAAGGCCTCAAAAAAATAAATAAATAAATAAATAAAAAATAAAAAATAATAATAATAATAATAATAATGATGATGATGATGATGGAGGTTTAAGTCCTCCAAGAAATATATGTGTGTGAATTTATTGTCATAATACAATATATGTGAACGGATTCAAACTTAATTCATTTAAAATCTTATTAATTTAGAATAATATTTGATAAGCTCATCCACACGATGAGCCTAAAAACGGACCAAGAATTTTTTAGATACATGTGAGATTCACGTGAATTTCACTTGAACAATTGAAAGTATTTGGATGCTAAGAGGCTCTGCCTATATAAATTCTGAAATGATAATTGTTTTAGTGTATAGAGCCCAAATTAATAATTTATATAAGCTCCAACTTTTTTTGATGGAGCCAAAATAATAACTATTATTTTAATTCAGGCTTGGGCTTGAATAATGGACCAGGAAATTCAGTATTGGGCTTGAAGAATGGCCCAGTAAATCTTTGATTTCACTATTTTGTAGTAATATTAATTTGTTGTACTATTATTTTAATTCAGGCTTGGGCTGGAATAATGGACCAGGAAACTTAGGATTGGTCTTGAAGAATGGCCCAGGAAATCTTTGACTGCACTGATTTGTAGTACTATTAATTTGTAGCCCACATAACATAACTCCTTAAATATAGGTTCAATATATATGTGTGTGAATTTATTGCCATGATACAATTTATGTAGGTTCAAACTTGATTTATTTGAAATCTTACTAATTTAGAATAATATTTAATAAACTCATACATGTGAGACTCACGTGAATTTCACTTGAACAATTGAAAGTATTTAGATGCTGAGAGATTTCGTTTTGTTGAACAAAGCTGATGGATTCCATTTGAATGTATCCAAAGAGTGTTTAGAGTTTTATTCGTTTCACCTTTATGCTGAAACAAAGTATTTTCTATTAATTTATAAGATAAAAGTTGACATTTTGAAAATACAAATGGATTTAAAAGAAAAGAAAAAGAAAAATTATTGTGATGAAATATGAGCCGCACAATCATGATTCGCGGATGCAAACATGTATTGTTGAACGAAGCGGATGGGTTTCACTTGAATGCATTCAAAGAGTGTTTAACATTCGGTTTACGTTTGCGCTGAACAATGTATTTTCTATTAATTTATAAGATTAAAGTTGACATTTTGAAAATACAAATGGATTTAAACGAAAAGAAAAAAAGTTTCTAAAATGACTAAACATGTATATTATCATCTCTTCTTTTCTCCGATCTATCATATCTAAACGTATATATTATCATTTCTTATCTTTTCTTTATATCCAAACATAAATAGAGATTATTGATATTATTTTTTTTTTTTAATTTTCTCTCATAATATATATTATCAAAAAAAGTTTCTAAAATGACTAAACATGTATATTATCATTTCTCTTCTTTTCTCCAATCTATCATATCTAAACGTGTATATTATCATTTCTTTTCTTTTCTTTATATCCAAACATAAATAGAGATTATTGATATTATTTTTTTTCTTTAATTTTCTCTTATAATAAATATTATCTTCTTTTCATTTTTTTTTTTTTTTTTTGTATGTATCCAAACAAAACTTAAGATGTAACAAGAGGTTTAGAGTTTAATTCTATGTCAAATTAAAAAACGTAGTGTTAGTGTTTATTGAAAGAGACGAAGACCTTAAATAACCCATTTCATAAGTACATAGTGCTATTACATGGTAGTCACACTCATCAGCAAATTGTGTGTGTACTCTGCAAGTTCCATTAGTCATGACCTTTTCTTTTATCAAACTCACCTCACACGGCAGCATTCCAGAGTGGACCTCCATTAACATCACTTGTTCAACAATCACAACCTTTCCATCAATATGTCTTCCCCAAAACCAATCATTTTAGTTGGACAAAGCTGATGGATTCCACCTTAATGCATCTAAAGAGTGTTTAGCGTTTTATTCGGTTTATCTTTACGCTAAAACAAAGTACTTTTTATTAATTTATAATATAAAAGTTGACATTTTGAAAATACAAATGGATTTAAAAGAAAAGAAAAAGAAAAATCATTGTGATGAAATATGAGTTGCACGATCATAATTCGCGGATACAAACATGTATTGTTGAACGAAGTGGATGGATTTCACCTGAATGCATCCAAAAAGTGTTCCACGTTAGTTTACCTTTACGCTGAATAAAATATTTTCTATTAATTTATAAGATAAAAGTTGACATTTTGAAAATACAAATGGATTTAAAAGAAAAGAAAAAGAAAAACCACTGTCATAAAACATGGGCCGCATGATCTTGACTTCGCACGTGCGAACATGTATTGATGTCAACTAGACACACACTTGTCTACCAATTAGAAGAAAAAAGAAAAAAAAACAAAGTTTGGTGGTGTGTCTATGTTTTGGGCAATGAAAGAATAATTAATCTGAATTTTGATGTGGCAAGCTTGGTGGTCCTTTTTCGTCAACAATGGTGTGCAAATTGCCAAATCCCATTTACATTACATCAATCATTAATAGTAGGTTCCTTTTAGGTCTATATACATTCATTTATATGGAATTCATTTATAGCTAATCAAATTAGGTATTACATTTACTCCACAGTCGACATATAACAATTGTTCTATTATGATACGAGTGTGACAAATTCAAAATAAAGAAATAGTTTCTCTTATTTATATACTACCTTTTTTGGTTTGACAATGACAAAAGTCTCCTACATTAGATTTTTTTTCTTTTTACTTAATCGAAAGTCTGTATAAAAACAGTAACATAATTTCTAAAAGATAAATTTATAGCACATCCTTTTAATTAATAATAATTATTTAAAACATATTTGCACTTTAATTTGTACCCCTGCACATTATCTTTTTTTAGTTGAAATGATTTAATTTTACTTAACTCCAATGTGATAGCCAAAGACTTTCAAGTCACATTTTACAGGTTAAAAGTTCAAATCCCTTTCGACCACCTTTGGGAAATTTTTTTTCCGATGCATGTGGAATGGGAGATTACACGTTTTCAATTGGAAAAATTTTAAAAGTCGAAAGTTCAAATTTCTTTCGACCACCTTTGGGAAATTTTTTTTCCAATGCATGTGGAATGGGAGACCACTCGTTTTCAATTAGGAAAATTTTAAAAGTCGAAAGTTCAAATTTCTTTGGACCACCTTCGAAAAAAAATTTCTCAATGTATGTGAGATGAGAGACTACACGTTTTCAATCAGAGATTATTTGAATGTTTTAAGAGGTCCACAAATAGATGAACATTTTACATAATATACCTAAATTACCCTTTCGGCTTTGACTTTTGCATTAATTAGGATTAACAATTTGATTATCCAAACAAAATGTCTTTGAGTTGATCGAAAACAAAGTTTACAAAATAAGAGAAACGCTCTCTCTCTCTCTCTCTCTCTCTCTCTCTCTCTCTCTCACACACACACACACATACACACACACAAATATATATATGTAATTTGTATTCAATCAAATAACTTTATTTTTATACACTTGCACCTTTTTTTATAAATATAGAATAACAAAAATACCCTCCCAAGGATGGATTGGAAAAGTATTTTATGAATAAGACTGTTTGTTTTGAATCATTTTATTTTATAAAAAACTACGGCGTTCAAATGAAATCACCTGGTTTGTCTGGCTTTGAACAGATTTGCAGAACACGTTTTGAAAATATCTTTATACGACAAATATTAAATTACGGAGCATAGAATTTTATGAAGTGTGAATAATTACAGTTCAAAATTTTCATCTTCATATGTAGTATTAAATCAAGCTATTGTAACGTGTACACTCTCCATTAGAGAGTCGCCAAACCCCTGGTGAAAAAGGTCCAATCATAGTCCCTGCGGCTGCGGCCTCCATTGAGGAGAGGTCAAGGTCAATTTCGTGTCTATATAAACTACACACAGTACACATACTATATATATATATGCTTCATGAATGTGGTAGGAGGAGTACCTGGTAAATTGCATTAGAATTATACAGGTACCAAAATTCATTTACGTAGTTCTAAATTTCAATTATTTAAGTGAATATGCATTTTCTCCTATTAAAATTTTAAATTTACCATTTAAATTATAGTATTAGCTGAAATAAGTTTTAAAAGTTGTAATATTTTTGGAAGTATGTTATTTTTATTTTTTTCTACGCACAAACTTTAATTTTGAAGTGCCTTAAATTATTAGATGGTTGTAAATCATTAACACTAGGTAGACTATTTAAATGAACTCTCAAATTGAGAAAATGAATTTACAAGAGTGTATTTATATTACGAAGTGTTGTGATCGGATCGGACTGCTTTCAAGGGCTTCACATTTGAAGTTCACTTAGAACCTCTAAAATTTTTGGAAATTTTAGGGCCACTCTAGTAACTCGTGCCTCTTTTCAAAAAATTATAAGATGGAAGGAGGATTATTATTATAGAGTAATTTTTTATTAGGACAATACTTACGTTCTCTCTGGTGAGGGTGTATATATTACTAGTGATCATGGTTCGCCGTTTCGTCCGATACGCGACTCTTTTTCAAATTCGAAATATGACTCGTATCGACCAGTTTATACTGACTTTGTCCGAGTCCATTATATTGTAATCAATGCCGCAACTGTAATCGATACGGCAAACCATGTTAGTGATATGAAATAACAAATGAAATTGTCTTATTTTAATTACCAAATCATTTGGTGAGTATGTATTTCATTATTTCTGATTTAGTAATTAAAGATGGTGTGTTGAAGATGGTGTACATCCTCGCTGATGATTTTTTTTTTTGTTTTATCAAACTGGCAATTTAGAGGTGAGCTTATGATAACTATCGTGAGGTCTACTTCATAGTAGCATTACACTGTGTGCTATATTTCGTATAACTACCTTATTTCACTGCCAGTTAGGTGGAACTCGTTTGAAAATTTTGAAGTCCAAAAAGTTTACCAATTCACACTCTCTTTGCTGATGTAAATCTGCATCGTTTTCGGTATACGACCTTATCCATAGCTTCCTCAATCCAAACCCATTTCACACACAACAATATCATCGATTTATCAACCAACCCAAATTCAATTTTCCAACAAAATTTTGACATTTTTTTCATCAGCAACAATACCACCAAAAACAGAGAAGAACACTACAAAATATATACACACACACAGTTGTAAACACGCACGCATAGATACATATAGAGAGAGAAAGTAATCAAAGTAGAAGAACTATATTCTCTGTTTTAGAGAGAGAAGCAAAACCCAGAAAGTATACATCTTAATTCTTCGAATTTTAGATTTTTTCAGCTGTAACAGAGCACCAAGAGGAGAGAAGAAGAACCCAGAATCAATATATATATATATATACACACACACGATTCAGAAAAGGGAAGAACTCGAGCTTTGGAGAGAGAAGCTCCAAATGGAAGTCAAACGCCGAACGGCGAGATCTCTGGTAACGAAGCTGAGCTCAGTATCGGAACAAACTCGAACCGAAGCTCTCTGCGAGCTTCGTCTCATCTCCAAACACGACCCGGAAAGTCGATCTCTGATCGCCGACGAGGGCGCAATACCCTACATCGCCGAAACCCTCTACTCTCTCTCTCCAATCTCCCAAGAAAACGCCACCGCCACCCTCCTCAACCTCTCCATCTCCAGCCGCGAAGACCTAATGTCCACCCGCGGCCTCCTCGACGCCCTCTCCCACGTCCTCCGCCACCCCACCTCCCCCTCCGCCGCCCAGTCCGCCGCCGCCACCCTCTTCAGCCTCCTAACCGTCGACGAGTACCGACCCATCATCGGTTCCAAGCGCGACATTGTGTATGCCCTAATTGACATCATTCGGAGCCCTAATTCGCTCCCGAGATCCATCAAGGACGCCCTTAAAGCCCTTTTTGGGATTGCTTTGTACGCGCTCAATCGAGCGACGATAATCGAATTAGGGGCCGTTCCGGCGTTGTTTTCATTGGTGGTGAAGGACGGGCGGGTCGGGGTGGTGGAGGACGCCACCGCGGTGATTGCTCAAATTGCAGGGTGTGAGGAGGCTAAGGAGGCATTTAGGAAGGTTTCTGGTATTGGGGTTTTGGTGGACTTGTTGGATCCATCGACAGGGTCGAGTGGTAGGACGAAAGAGAATGCTATTTCGGGGTTGTTGAATTTGGTGCAATGTGGAGGAGAACAGGTTGCCAACAATGTTTGCGAAATAGGTTTCGGTGTGTTTGATGGAATTGCTGATGTTGCAGAGAATGGGAGCTCAAAAGGGAAGAACAAAGCTGTTGCTTTGTTGAAGATACTTGATGCTGGGATGAATGGTTTGGAAGACCCTCGGTTTGCTTCCTTTTTAAGCCACTCTTCATGAATAAGTGATCTTTATTTCTTTTGTTTGTTGTTAGCTAGCTTTATGCCAAATTTGGTTTCTGCATTTTTATAGTTTGTTTTAGTGCACATATTAGGGAATTGAATTGTGTTGAGTTGATTCATGGTGTAATCAAATAATCTTGTAATATCATAATATGATGTATTTTAGATCATATTAACAGTTCATGCTACTGATATTTGATATATAAAAGAAGAAGTTTCATTGGAATTCATCATTATCCTGGTTTTCATCTTCTTGTTTTGATGGACTAATAATGTGGGGACTCGAAAATCTTCTAAATTTCGTAAAGTTACATGGAATTTGTTAACATCATAAATTGAATTATACATGTTATGTTGTTTCTACTTCCATTGTCTATAGATTCAAAATCTTTTTTAAGAACCACACTTTTTAGTAACTTTATTGTGTTCTTCAATTTTTTGCATTTGAAGGTGAACTCCCACGGGCAGCATGCGAAAGATATCTATAATTGAACATAAACGAAAAAATAGAATCCAACAAATCTATTAGCCTAATCCATTTAGATATAGTCAAGCAAAATTTTCACTTGATCATGAATCACTCCATCCAGCAATAGATCCAATAACTGAAAACCAATCAAGGCGAATTATATTATAACACCGTAGCAATAGACTGTCAAGCTATCAGCTTAGTTGATATTCCTTTAAAAGCAAATATAAGCTCATAATTCTAAGGGGATAAAAATACAGGATACTTTTTTTTAGCAGGTACAGGATACAAAATTTGCTACGCAGGAAAATACAAATATAAGAGTTTTTCAGGAAAAATGTTTACTAACAAAATTGGGCTTTGGGAGCAAGCTAATGATACAAATTTACAATGTGTAAATGCCTCTGCAGTAGGATTAGATGAGCATATTGAACATGTAAAAATTATGGATGGTGAATGTAGAGCAATAGTGCGTCTTATGGGCATAACAAACTATCTCTTAAGTTTCAGATAGCTTGAAGGGAAATGTTAACATGAGAGTCAAGATTGATTGTAATCTTATGAGTTTTGTGATTCTGTTTACTTTAAGATCCCTGATTGGTAAGAGCATAGAACTGCCAATCTTTTTCAGTACTTGTTTAGCTAGGTGAGAATATTTAGTATAGTAAATATATATATATATATATATATATATATATATATATTCTCCGTTATAGGAGTAATGTGAGGGCGGGCCTTGGCGCAATGGTAAAATTGCTCCATTGTGACCTGAAATTTGAAATAGGAAACACCCTCTTTGCATGCGGAGGTAAGACAACGTACATCTGATCCTCCCCAGACTCTACAATAGCGGAGCCTTGTGCACTACGTTAGCCTTTTTTCTTTTTTATATTAGTGTTATTTTATGATGACAGAAACTAGTTTAGACTGTGGATATTTATTTTGTGCGTGTGTGTGAATGAGACACAGATTTTTGGAATGGTGTAGCTGAGATGTGCAGAGTGTGATAGCAGAGAGAAAAGGCAGTAGACACAGGTGTGCAATGAATTAGTTTAAATACCTGCAAAATATGTAGTTTGATTTCTTCTTATATCTTCACACCTTTATGCTGCTTACTTTCAACAAATAGCCATAGTTCTTTAACCATTAGATGGTTAAATTATTTTATTGGTTTGATATACTCTCCTTCTTGCTTCTACATATTTCTTTCAATACACGACGCATGACTTGTTTGTTCAGTAATTCTCAATATGTTTGCATATAGATATAGTAGCTCAATATTACTTTAGAGTGCTCATGGTATCTTGAGATTACTCTATTAATGAGAACAGAACAAATTCCTAGGATATTTACCATAGTAGTACGCCTAAACACTCAAAATTCCTAGGATATTTACCATGAAAAAAAAAAAAACTTTCCTTGAATGATGACAATACAAGGAATATAAGTTTGTTCAAGATAGTTAGAAAGATGATACATTTAATGAATGTTGGTTACTCCAAGCTCCTTTGTGGACAAAAATAGTGAATGGAAACTTGGGATCACTGTATTAGATGAGAAGGGAAGGCTGAAAGTAATGACTGGCTTCCTTTAGTCCTTTTCGTTGCAGTTCTTACTAGAATATAAATGTGAAAGACATTCTTAGTTATTGCCTTTGTGGATTTGAGCATTTTTGCATGAATTTATTAATATATGAGATGAGGTTCACCTAAGTGTTGAACTGTTGATAGGATAACTGACTCTGTTCACATGGTTTGGTTAGAAGCAATACATGTTTCTTACAAAGATATGAATGTGGAACACATGCTTGCTTATTGGCTTTGTGGATTTAATTTTTGATACATGCCTGGTATTGGTAAACATTGCTTGATGACACATAGAGGCACCTTGGGTTACTATGTAAGTCATAATAATGAATGAAATATCTTAGTTGCTACTGATTCGACTAGTCAAATGTGGCATATGACAGAGATCATTCACACCTTGCGGAGATTATGTAGTTGTAAAGGTGTTGCCATAACTCTGATGTGACGAATAATATCTTTGTATTATGATCTCTTTGAACCTCAAACCATTAGATTCTTGTGTGAGTAATCAGAAGGCTACCGATGAGAAAACAAAAACCAAGTTGCTGGTAGAATATATGCAGTTTAGGACTTGAGGGTCATCTAGGCAAATGCTTAATAAGAGATTTTTCCAATTTTAATACTACTTGTGAGGGTGATTGCTATAGCAAGTTGATTTGAATTTTTAAGAGTTTAAATTATAGATTTGGATTTTTCAATGGTTGAAACAGATAATATTTCTAGTCTATCGTTGGTTATTTGCAGATTCACAACTCAACTGGCTTAAATATGAGCTTGTGCCATGACATATACTTCTTCATTCGTTTGGCTCTATTCGAATGAAACTTATCTAGTTACATAGCTATCTATTTCAACTAAATGGCAAAATTAGTTGGATTTTCCAAACTGTTTTGCCCAAATTTCAGTGTTGGTAAAATATCTACGGCTCTGTTTGGTACATGGATTTAATGAGAGAATAAATGGAAAGGAATCACTTTCCTCGTTCTGTTATCGTGGGAATAAGTGGTAAAGGAAAGTAAGAGATTAAACAATGAGCTAAGTTTTTTATTTTAGTTTTATTCAAGTGGAAGAGAGAATATGCAAGAATAGTGTAAAGAAACGGCTTTTTTCCCATCTAAACTTATTCTAGACTGCCTATTTGGTAAACCAATTTTTTTTTGGAATGACCCGGGTATCCGGGGTTTTGCCCCGACTAATCTCCAAAGACCCAGGAAGGAAAGACAGCCTCCCCACCCCGGGCCGGGCAAACCATTTTTGACTCCAAAACTTGTCATGAGCCAGATATGCTATAGTTGTTTTAGGACTTTTTTTTTTTATAAGTAATAATTGAAATAAAATATAGTTGTTTTAGGACTTGGTGTTTATTCCTTGGATTTTGACTAATTCAAGGCTACTGTGAGTGGTAAGAAGACTTCAACAGAGGATGCCATTTATGAGATTTGTGTACTTGGGAATGGATAAAGTCTATACCAGATATGCAGGAGGCTTAAGAAGAGGAAAATTCAACAGGGTGATGATCAAGAAAATGTCAAATTAACCGCTGATGACATGCTCGCGTTTTCTATACCGTTCCATATCTGAATTTTTAGAGCAGAATGAAAATATAGGATCCAACGATTCGTGTAGTCGACCCAAGATGGTGAGGTTTTCTTGTGGATGATCAATGTGGAGGTATCTTAAATTGCCATATCATTGTCTATTGCAGCATCTATCAGCTGATTACCCCCTCTTTTTTTTCCCTGGCATAGAAACTATCTTTTGCCTTTTTATTACAAAGAATTATTTAAAGAAAAAGGTATGACCTAAAAGATTAGAATAAAAAAAAAAAATTAAAAGGCAGAGAGATAAAGAAGAAATATACCTTCCCTCCCAAATCCCACCATATCCGGACAGGTGCTCTTCACCAAATTTCTTCCAAACCCACTTATTTTAACCTTTCACCAAAAAGAAACAAAGCTAGTTCTCACAGTAAGTTGGCATCTTTGTCATTGAGTCCATTTCATATTACTATTGGACAAAGTTATTATCTGGTGGTCCCATAGTCTTGACCTCACACACTGTTTTGTGAGTTTTTATTTATTTATTTTTATCTTTATTTCTTTTTTATTATAAGAAAAATTACATATAAATGGAGTTAAAGTTCCATATTTACTTAGAGGCTGAGTCAAAGTTTCATATTTCTCTAAAATGGATTGCTGAGGTGGCACATGGTTTTTTACTGTTTAGAAATTGTGATGCCTAAAATACCCTTCCGCGAAGGTACTACTTTTTCTTCGAAGGTACTACTTTTTTGAACTGAAGGTACTACTTTTTGGCGTCCAGGTACCATGTTTTTTAAACACTCGCGAAGGTACTACTTTTTCTCCGAAGGTACTACTTTTTTGAACTGAAGGTACTACTTTTTTGAATTGAAGGTACTACTTTTTTATTAGGGAAGGGCATTTTAGGCACCACAATTTTTTAAACAGTAAAAAATCATGTGCCACCTCAGCAATCCATTTTAGAGAAATATGGAACTTTGACTCAGTCTCTAAGTAAATATGAAACTTTGACTCCATTTATATGTAATTTTCCCTTTATTATAAGTACTAATAAAAAATAAAGATAAAAGTTTGGCGTGCAATATGAAAATTTTGGCTGCTAGTAGAACAAAGAAATATTATTGTGGAAGAGCCTGAATAATATTACGGACAGACACGAATCTGTGAAGGGTTCAGTGGGGGGCATTCGCCCCTATTAAAAAATTTTATTATTATATTTTACATCTTTAAATTTATACTTTTTTTCAGTTATACTTATAAAATTTTAAAATTGCTCCCACTAAAATTATGAAAAAACTCTTTTATATAAATTTTTTTTCCTCCCCCCTTCGTATGAATTCCTAGATTCGTCCCTGATTGCAGATGTATTCAGATATATTCCGCACTTGTTATGTTATCCAAATGCGAGAATATTTATTTATTCTAAATTTTTTAAATTCTTTCACGTTTTTTTAACCATAGTGAAATCCTACCCTCCGTGAACATAAACGGTAAGTTTTTACTCTTTTCTTGAATCCTACAATCCGTGAAAGTTGGTTTTAGATGCAATACGATGCTTGACATTTAAAAGGGAGGATTACAGTTGTAGTCCAATTCTGTACCAATGACCAGAAAAAAAGAGTAATTCAATTCATAAAATGGACTAGACAGCTTGAATTCAGAAGAAAGTCCAGCTTAATCTATTATTCGCAAGTTATTTCCTGTGGTGGGTTTGAAAAATGGATGATTTTCTCACTTGTTGGGTGATTGGTACCTAAAACACTATAGACCTAATCTTTCTTAAGATTATTATTATATTAATTTTTTTGTACCATTAGGTAACCCTAGATTTTAAAGGAATAAAAGCAGCTAATCCTTGAATTGTTCTCTATTACATGATAGACCAATCAGATCCAGGAGCAATAGAATCATTATTTTCATTTGATAGTTTAAGACTTTAATGTTTGTCAACTTTGTCACTGATAAAAAGATGAAACAGCATCTTGAGCACTAACTGACAGCTCCTCCACCAGCTAAAAGCCAACAACTTATTCATTTTTTCAACTACCTTTCACACCACCTTTAAAATGCTTGCCCAATCACCACAATCATTCAGTTTTCCATCTTCAAATCTGTTACTTTCTTAATTATCAGCTCTTTATTATTCATGCACAAATTAAAAATTTAACCCAAACCCCCACTTTATCCCGAGATCTCTAACTAGTGTAGGGATGGATCATATCGTGTCTCCATGTAATGAAATGTTGATGTCACGTGTATTTTGTTATAAAATATATTATTTGAAAGTAGACATTCTTATAATTAGGCTTGTTTAATTTATAACTTTGAAAATAATTTTTAACAATTCAAAGAACTGGGCATGTTTGATTTGTATCGGTGAAAACAGTTCTGAAGAACTCATAAAACAAAAAACTATTCCCAAAAAACAATCTTTATAATTTTATGAAAACATGAATTTTTATAATTGTGTTTTCAGAAAATTAAATCAAGCAGAATTTTTTGTACAATTTTCTGAGAACAAAAAATTATTTTCATAGTTACAAACCAAGCATACCACTTTTTAAAAAACTGAACCAAATTATTTGTACAGTTTTATATTTTTAGTTATTTGAAAACAGAAAAATGTTTTCAAAATTACAAACCAGTAAGCATCTAATTTATTTATTTATTTTTATTTAATTTTTTTCAAGTTTGTTCGATTTTTCGGTTGAACTCTTTACCGGGGTTAATATTTTAAGTAGAATTGTCAAAAATATCATATCAGGAGGTAGATCTAGATGGTTTGCTACTTCAACCTGAGCTAAACTTTTTTGTGGTTCAGAGGATTTTCATGTTGTCAGGGTTTGGTAGACAACTTTTTAGAACTCGTCCACATCTTGTAAGTACTGGCAATTACCCTTTCCAGACTAAACACTAATTAAACATGCAATGGTAACCTAAACACTTGACTATACATGCGTACTAATGAAGTCAATTAGGTTAAATTTCCTAATGTTTGTATACGTGTGTTTTTGTGTGTGAAGATATAATGTTCCACACAATTACTCTTTCTCGGTCTTCCTGGATAGATGCAGGCAATAGAGGAGGACAGCCTTACCAAACACGACAGGGACAAGGCAATGAGCTGGGTCTTCAGGCTATTAGGTTTTAGTCTTTAGATAGAGAGGAGAAAAGTGGGTCACAAGAAGCCAAAATGGCATGAGCAGAGCACGTGATTGCAGGTATGAGCATGAGCAGGGTCTTTAGGCTCTCTGGTCAATTTCACTGTGGCAGACTGGTTTGTTGAGCCTTGAAGGGGACTGCAGATCATTGGGTAGCGTTTGGATGCTCAAATAATTGTCTCTTTCTTCGAAAAGCTGGAGTACACAAAATGTACAGCCAATTTGGCAATGTAGTTGATTAGCCCATCTGACATGAGTTTTGTTTTTGTTGTTTTTGAGTTGCTACGGTATTAATTTTGGTAATAAAAAAATGTTTGATGTGGCCTTCTATTATTTCATACAATGTTAAAACACTTCCGGTGATCCAAAACCAAAACACCAAAAAATTGTTTTTTTCTTATTTCAGTAGTGTTTGGGCTAAGTCTCACTATAACGGAAGAAACACTTGACCCAAACAAAAATAAAATATTGTTCCAAACGTACTTACGATTTTTTTTTTTTTTAAACACTCCTACATCAAAAACACTATACATCTAAAACAAAACGCATCTCAATCATGCCAAAGTAATTGAATACAACTTTTGTAAGAATATTATATAAATGCAAGAAACATGTGTTATTAAACATAGATGAGACAGACTAGGGTTTGAAAATTTGTAGAAATTGAATTATTTTAATTGAATGGGTTGGTTTTTTTTAATTTTAACTGAAATCGAGAAACAAAATCGTCAAATATGAATACAAGATGAGATCTAAATTTTACACTTAAAAAGCACGAGTACAACATAATTCGCCTCTTAGTGTGCTTCCTCAATCAATACTATTGAACATTACTTTTGATCACAGTTCCCCTTTCAACTGTTTCCAAATAAACCTGTGTGCTACAAAAAAAAAAAAAAAAAATTTCTATGCGTGTTCCAATTGGAGTGATCGTAGGAAACCCATTGCACATAAAAGACTCCAATGGTGATGAATGACTTTGAAAAGGCACAAAAAAGGCCAAAAAGCAAAGCTGAAAAGTGCTTCTAATTAGTTGGGGAGTGACAACAGCGCATTGGCTAAGTGGAACTTAGAAGAGATAGATAGCGATATATTCCGTATAGGTATATAGATATAGAGAGAGAGAGTGGGTGACAATCCCACGTGAACGACCACCACCGTCGGTGGATGTCTTGCTTGGCTTGGCTTCATATCAACGCTAACATCCAAAAATACCCAAACCCACAAAACAAATAACACCTCCCAAAAAGTGAGAAGAAAAAAAAAAAAAAAAAAGGAGGTTAAAATTACCATCATTAACTCAAATTGACAAAAGTGAACCTTATTCTTTGGTTGGCCACTACCACTAATTAGCTTCTCTCTCTCTCTCTCTCTCTCTCTGAGTTGCCCACTTAAATCGGATCACCCATATTTTCTCTCTCTAGGGTTTTTCTCTCTCTAAATGCTACCTATAGTAGTAGTACTCTCTCTTTAGTAGAGGCCACTAGTGCTACTAACCTTTTTATTTTCTCCCTCTAAATGCTAGTGGCTCTCTCTTTCTCTCTCTCTCTCTATGCTTTACCACATAATGCCACTACTCTAAAATGCTAGTGGCTTTCTCTCTTTTTCTCTCTCTCCAAACACATTTCATCATGCTTTTAACCTCTTGAGGTCTTCTCTCATTTCATGTTAGCAGCTAAAAACTAGGGAGAGGTTTTATAATGAGGAGAGATGGATAAAGAAACTAACCAAGAAACCCCATCTCTCCTCTCCGTCAAAGATGAAACTCCTAAAAAACAACCACCACCACCGGGCGGCGGCGGCGGCGGCGGCGGCGGCGGCGGCAGCTGTGATAGATTGAAAAGAGATGAATGGAGTGAAGGGGCGGTTTCGAGCCTACTTGAGGCCTATGAATCCAAGTGGATACTAAGAAATAGAGCAAAATTAAAGGGGCATGATTGGGAAGATGTCGCAAAGTATGTGTCTTCACGTGCGAATTGTAGTAAGTCGCCTAAGACGCAGACGCAATGCAAGAACAAGATCGAGTCCATGAAGAAGCGGTACCGGTCCGAGTCCGCCACCGCCGACTCCTCGTCGTGGCCGCTCTTCCCCCGGCTTGATCTTTTGCTGCGTGGAAGTGGCCCTCCACCACCACAGCCACTGCCACAGCCACCGCCACCGCCGCCTGTGGCCGTGATCAATCCTCCTTTGGTGCTACTTGAACCGGCACAGCCACCGCAACCACCGCCACCGCCTCCAGCTCCTCCTCCTCCTCCTACTCCTCTGCATCTTGGAATCACACAAAACTCGCATGGATCAAATGGTGTTGAACGTGGACCTAAGGTCAGTGCCATTTTAATTTTTTTTTTATTTTCATATGTGAGTGTGAGTGTGTGTGTGTGTGTGTGTGTATTAGAGTTGTAGAAATCAAAGGTTTAGACTGATTAAACAATGCGAATTCAAAATAATCACTTCAGAGAACTTAAACATCTTAATCATAATAATGTTTTGAGAGACATGAGAGTGAAACTTATTATGTTCTTCATTTCCTAGTACTAAATTACTAATAAAAGCACACATAGATCACGACTTTAATTTTTCTTGCAAATTATGATTTTCTAAAGTGTAATTGAAATTAAATTTTAAGAATAAAAAAAAGTTCTACACTTTTTGAAACTAAAATGCAGTTATTTCATAGCTGAAAAAGGTTGATCATGTGTGATGGAAAGATGAACAAGATAAATAATTTTTTTTTTTCATAATTACATAAATAATAAATATGCATCAAGAATTGACCTTTACCAATTTTTCTAAAAAGGGCATATTAAAAACTGCTATAGAAATCAATCAGTGGACTATTAGAAAAAAAAAAAATTTAGGTAGTTTGTTTATTAACATGTTTTTGTATGAGTACCTTCAAGTCTACTTTTCATATGAGGGCACGAGCTCAGTGAAAGTGTTCTCATGATATATGCTCTATTTATGTTGCTAATACGAGGGCACAAGTTCAATGAAAGTATTCTCATGATAGACTTACTCTATTGATGTTGCTAATACAAGGGCACGAGTTCAGTGAAAGTGTTCTCATGATAGACTCGCTCTATTTATATTGCCAAGAGGCCAATTTCATCAATGTATTATGCTCTTTCATTCTACTTGATACATGGTGTGAGTTCAGAGGAAGTGTTCTCATGATCGATTCGCACAATATGTATTACTTACTAATAGTCCAAATTCACCAATGTAATATACTCTTTCATTGTACCAGGAAGATGGGGTTGATACTAAATTGTCCGATCATTTATCAGACAAAAATGCCATTGAGACGGACAGTAGCACACCAGGCCTGTATAGCGATAAGGAGAAGATGAAGTCGAGAAATCTAAGGATGAGAATGGAGAAGAAGAAGCGACGGAGAAGGGAGGACAGGGACGTAGCAGAGAGCATCCGGTGGCTGGCAGAAGTAGTGGTGAGGTCAGAGCAAGCAAGGATGGACACAATGAGAGAGCTGGAGAGGATGAGAGCCGAGGCAGAGGCCAAGAGAGGTGAAATGGATCTCAAGAGAACAGAGATCATTGCTAACACTCAGTTGGAGATTGCTAGGCTCTTTGCTGGTGCTGGCAAAGGCATTGATTCTTCATTGAGAATTGGAAGAAATTAAGACTAGTATAAAGAAAATTATGATATATATATATATATATATATGTAGACACTTATGTACTAGTTAACTTTGAAGAAGTGGAAGAGCTCTTGGAGGTGAAAGAGTGAGTGAGAGCTGTTTTAATTAACTTCTTATAGGCTACTTGTTTAAAGAGTTATTGTAGGAAAAATAACTATCTCTACCTTGTTGCAGTGTTGTCTACTTCACAAACAATGCAGAGAGGTGTTACATATATAGTTATATATATATTTGACATCTAACCTTTATAAAGCTTAAGAACCTATTAATAACTCGCATACATGTGTATGAAATAGAGGAATATTTGGAGGAAAGTCCCAACCAGTTTTATCAGTGAAGCAAGTACACAACATGGGCAATTATATGTGTTTTCCTCCTAAAGGCCAGTTGAATAACAAAAAAACAAAAAAAAAATTATGGTTCCTGTAATCAATTCTAAGTTGAAAATTTCATTTTTTTTTTGTGCATTACATATCTAGTATGAGTTGTGTTTTAGGCAGGAATTGTAGGAACTGTTATGCTTGCTTCTATAAATACATTCACATTTTCGTGTTTGGTTGAAGGGAAGGATTGAGGAGGGATGGATAAAATAACTTTTTCGTGTTTGGTTTGAGGGAAGAGAAAAAAGGAAGGAGGGATGAAGCATCCATCATTTTTTTTGTATTTTCTATCCTCCCATTTGGGAGGAAGATGAGAAGAAAGAAATAAAATTAACAAAAACATGTTTTTATCTTTTCTAACCTTCCTATAAACTTAGAATGGATATATAATTTTTATAAGTTTAAATAATGAGGATATATTGGTAAAAAAAATATAAAAACCCTATTTTCCTTCTCTTCAACCAAACAAAAATAATACACCACCCCATCTATTATTTCTATTATTCATTTCATTCAACCAAATAAAATTTGAGGGAGACATGTTCCATTCTAGGATGTCTCATCCATCCCTTCTCCTTCTCCTTTCATCTATTTTTTCATCCCTCTAACAAAACGGAGCATAAATATATTTTTTTAATCCTAAACTGTGATTATCAAGTGTTTCCCTCTTATGTGACAATTATAGATTGTCAATCTTAAATGAAGATATAGGGTTTTATGTTATAGAAATATAAATATAAACAGTGATGGACCCAGAAAATTTGGTGAAGGGGGGCGAATTTTTAATTTGTGGGTACAAAATTATATGATGGGTTTATTTTTGTAATTTTAGTAGGGTTTTTTTCATAAATTTTAAAAAAATTTAAGTATAAAATGAAAAAAAAAAATCAGTGGGGCAAATTATAATTATAGTGGGGCATCTTCATAAATTATCAAAATTTGAAGTATAAAATGCTAAAAAAAAAAGAATCCAGTGGGGGCGAATTGTAATTTTAGGGGGGCATTTTCATAAATTTTAAAAATATTAAGGTATAAAATAAAAATATTAAAAATTCAGGGGGGGCATCTGCCCCCCTAGTCCCCCTGCTGGATCCGTCCCTGAATATAAATATAAATTAATTCAACGTCATATATTGTATTACCATGCCTATTATTTTTTTTTTTTACCATGCCTATTACCAGTCATCCTCATTTTCCTTACATAGGGAAATTCAAAAAATGACAGGCACCCAAAATTTCAAAATAGTGTAAAAACAAGGGGTTTGAGTCATTGCTACCTGTTGACTCAGACATGTTGTAAAAAGAAACTCTAAAGTATTCCAAATTATTCGTCGAAACTAAACAAAGTCAGCCAAAATCTATAAAATTATTTTAATATTAGATCTTGCCCATATAATAGTTTTGTTTCAATTTTTTTAAAAGAATGAATGTCTTACTCATTTTTTATATGCAAAACTACTCACAGCCCAACATTATTTTATTAAAAATTTTATTTTGATAAATAAGTCAACATCATCCTCTAATTCGCATTATTATTTTTACCAAGGACATCATAGTGATGGATTGAGCATGAACAGTTCCGGCCATTTGCAAGATTAAGTAAATGGATATTAATAAAGGTAAAACGGTCTTTTTATATAGCTATAAATAACACATTTCAACACTTATTACTTTGGACTTTTTTTTTTTTTTTTTTTTTGAGATTTGGGCTTGAGCACTCCTAACAATTTTTTTTTGAACCAAATTTTATGAAATAATAATTTTATTTTTCTATTATATAAAATATAATACAATATATCATTATAATATAAAAATATTACCTTAAAAACACTTTCTCACAAATCATATAAAGTAAGTGCGAATTTGATAATAGGAGCTACAAAATTAAATTATAAATAATAAGAATTAGACTCAGAACACACACAAAGCGGCGTAAGAACAAAACGCCTTCAGAACATAAAAGCAACATCTATTGCCCGGCCAAAGAGTGCATAGAAAAAGGCAGTGAATTTAAACCAATTCAAAGTAATTTACCCTATTAATAATGTCATTTCAGAAAAATAGATATCCAATAAAAACACACAAAATCCCCCCCCCCCCCCCCCCCCCCCCCCCTCTGTCTCTCTCTCACACACACACACACCAGATAAACAGCAACAATGCAAACTGCCCCAATTTTCGCACTCCGTGCGCCACCACCAACACCACCACAATCCTTTTGCTTCTCTCACTCCTCCGTGAAAACCCATCAGCCAAACTCGCTCTTCTCCACCCCCAATACCACCAACACGCCCTATTTGCTATCAACTCCAAGACCACTATCACTACCAAGAAAGTTGCTTTGCAGACCCCGTTCAGCCAAGTATGTCAGAGAAGACTATCTTGTGGTATGTACTTTCTCTCTCACACACACACACTTTATTGCGCATAAAATTTATTTACCTTAGTATAACATCTAACTTTAGTAGTATTATCTGTTGTTTCTTTAGGTTGGATTAAAATCCCATGGGTTTTTGAAAAAATGTACATTCAAAGAATTATATCAATGTTATGACATTAAATGTTTGTATTTTTTGACAGACCCTTTACAAATATTTGTCTTGGCTGAGGTGTGTTATTCATATAATTTGAGAAACAAGAATAGTAGGAAAAATATGTTCTTATTTCTTATAGTCTATTTTCTGAGCAACCAAACAATGGGGGAAGTAAAATTCGAAAATTAAGATTATATTATTTAGGGATTGGCAATTGGAGATGGATAATAACTAATTGTTGTGTTCGTAGAAATGCTGATTAATGGATATATCTGTAATTGATCTTTTGATTTTGTTACTTCTTTTGTGGGTTCGAAAAGTTGAGGCGTTTGTGCCGTTCTGTGTTGCTTTGGTTTGGCAGAAAAAGTTATCTGCAAAGGAGGTCCAAGAGCTAGTAAAGGGTGAGAGAAATGTTCCACTTATAATCGATTTCTACGCAACATGGTGTGGCCCTTGTATTTTGATGGCTCAAGAACTCGAGATGGTAATTTTAATTTATACCATCATTTCAGCTATTACTGTATGCTATATTTTATTTTTGTTGGGATTCTTCAGTCCATTAAGGTCTAGATTATTTTTAGAGGATGATCAACCAAGTAAGAAGATGGTTTTTACTTTTGAGTTGATGGGATACTAATTTTGTTATCACTGTATTTTTAGCAGTTTAGGAGTTCTATAAAATTTTGCACTAGTTAGTTGATTGTATCTCTTCACAACTGGCAAACTATTATTACATCCATAAATCCATAGCCATTGGATTTGGGAATGATAGATGTTTGTTAATAATAAGGTTTTATGTAGATTTGAACCATATCAATAACTTTTTACCTATACGAAATTTTTTACAAATACATCAGGTTGGGTTACTGTAGAAAATAAAGATGTTAGTTTGTGTTGAAAAATATCTCTACCAAATTTCTAGGTTTTATTTAGGAACATAATTTAAGCATGCAGTAATGTCTTGAAATGTGTTACTACCCCCTCAATCTCTATATATAGACATCTACCGGATGGATAGGATGCATTAAAATTATTGACTAAGATCTCATCTCTCAAACTCTCCAACTAAATATCCTAAATATTTACAAACTCTACAAAACTCTGTACTCTTCTAGACTATCTTCAAATCTACCAATTACTAAAAATCATTCATTGTGCTAGAATCTGCATCTCTCTACAATTCCTAATACTTTTCTCCACAAATGTGAAATGCTCTAGAATCCAATTCTTCTTATGTGCCATGTAATCGCCATGTAGAATCCTCGTCATTGCTTGTGCGGCTGTGTGGTCCAACCTCCCTCTATATTGGTGGGCGTGACACTTAGCTCCAATGCAGCCTGCATTACTGATTCACTCAATAAATTTTTGGGCAACCTTTCATTGTTCTAGAATCCATCTTCTCTCTACAATTCTTAATACTTCTCTCCACAAGTGTGAAAGGATCTAGAATCCAATTCTTCTTATGTGCCTTGCAATCACCATGTAGAATCCTTCTCATTGCTTGCGTGGCGGTTGTGTGGCCCAACCTCCCTCCATATTGGTGGGCATGACACTTGGCTCCAGTTTAGCCTGCATTTTGTTTCACTGAATAAATTTTTGGGGGAACTTTTAAATGATTGTTTGCTATGTGTAATTTTATACTGGTGAATGCCACCTTATATCGGAAACGACTTCTCACACCAAACCCGTCTAACCCAAAAAAGAAAAGGGCGGCTCTAGAGTCTAACCACCTACACCCCGAAAAGACGGTACATGAAAGAGAAGGAAAAAAAAAGAGTAAGTTTCTTATAATTTGATGAACCATTAAAAAAATTAATTAATTATTATTATTGAATCAATGTAGTTTTCTAGTCCTCCGCAACAACTACCAAACCTTTTTTCAATTGCTTGGGGTTGTCTACATGAATACTTGTTTCCATTTCACTCTATTTGCAGTTAGTACCCATGTTAATTTTGGTCTTCCTCTTCCCCTAGTATTATCCTCGATGTGAACTATCACTTTTCCTAATTGGCGTACTTAAAAGGTCTTGTCCTCCAAACAAGAAGATAGTAATCAATGTTCTAAAACCATTCCTATTTCTTATCTATGATACTCTTTATTTCTTCTTCTTATGTTGCTTTTTTTTTTTCGAGCTAAACAAGTTGCTGATTACATAACTGCTTTAAATGAAAGTAAAAAGTACAAATTAATGTTTTAGAAGTAGTTATGAATTCATGGTTTCGGCCATCTTTTAATATATAGATTTAACTTTGGAGTCATCCCACAGCTTGCCGTAGAGTATGAGAGCAATGCAATAATTGTGAAAGTCGACACAGATGACGAATACGAATTTGCACGTGACATGCAGGTACGTCCACCTGCCATTATAATTATCCTCTCTTAAAGTCTTTGGCTCTGTTTGTTGAACTGAATTTGATTTGTCAACAGAAAACATATGATTTCTCTAGTCACTGCATTTTCCAAGTGCACTTTTAATTTGTGATGGACTCAAATGTTTGGTGAAAATTATTTTGCAAATTTTATCATGTTTTGCATTTTTTTTTTTTTTTTCCCAGTTTGAAAGTTATTTCAACATTTCTTTCCATTGGGGAGATGAACCTGTATCACTTTGTTACAATTTGATGCTACCTTTTCTTCTGCAAAAGTTATTTCCATTGTGATGAATGAACATTTGACAAATATATTGTTTCATAGATTTCTGTTGGAATGGATTTTGCTGCAAATAGCTAGAAAGTAAAAAACCCAATTGAAATATTGTGTCACAGGTTCGGGGACTGCCAACATTGTATTTCATCAGTCCAGATCCAAATAAAGATGCTATCCGAACTGAAGGGCTCATCCCAATACAAATGATGCGGGATATCATCGATAATGAGATGTGAAGACACTGAAACTTTGCTCTGCTTGATGAAAGGAGGTGACGGCACCGGTTCTAGCTGTATATTGATTGTCTAAGCCCTTCCCAGAAACAAATTGAGTTTTGTAGCACCGATGTGTAATTTGGAAACCCTTTTATCTGAGTTATTGCCTTGTAGTAAACAATGTTGTACTCCATATGATGTGAATAATTGAATTGTTAGGGATGTCTGGTTGAGAATTTTTATGCCCTAGTTAAGGATTTATCAGCCAGACACGGCTGCCTCTTCGTTTTGGTTGAACAGACAGCAGGAATGCCGGAGAAAGTGAGCTTGAAATTTTGTGAAGCACTATGGTGATTTTTTTTAGTACTAATTAAATTAGCATTTGAGTTGTTTGTGCAGTTTTGCCACAAAACCAACACTAGCACACTTCATGGCATGATCTGTTGCTTTTTATGGTTTTAGCCTTCTGTTGAGCCTCTAAAAATGTCTCCTTTCTTAACAGTAAGCTTAAACCAGCATATGATATTAACCAACAGCTTATATATATATATATAAATATAGCTTCAGTTGGACATTGTGATGTATTATTCACTTGGTCTGAGAGACTCTCTGAGCACAAGTTTTGTTTGGGAAAGAGATGGGATTTCTAGATAATTGGGTCTCATAGGCTTATTCCTCTTTATAAATTGAGTAACAACTTTTAACTCCCATCAAATGCATTTATTAGTAATGATATTTATAGGTGATATTTATAGGTGGTTGTTTGGCATATATTATGTAAAGATTAAGTTTTACTTGTTAATCTTTTTACTCACTTTTTTTTATAAAAAAAAATAATAATAATAAAAAACTTTTTTAAAAAAATTAAAAATTAAAAAAATAAACTAAGGAAGCAACTTAAGTAGGTTAGGCATGTTGAGGGGTCAACCCAAGTTCCACATGCCCAACCAGACAATGTTAACCCATGCCTAACCTAATTCTAATATTTCCAAGTTAGGATTAGGTTTGGCTATATAGTTAGATCAAGTTAGCCTCAAATGTTTGGGTTGGTCTTCTCTAACTAATATTTCAAGAAAGATAAGGTACAATTATTAATATAGGTTTAGTTCAATTGAGCTCAAGTTGTCTGCTTAGAGTGCTAAGTCACTTCAAACTAACCAAACAACAAAAAGAAACTGTCAGAACCTATCAAAATACTGTACTAAGTTAGGCTTAAATTGGGGTTGGACCCTATCAACCTAACCTAACCTAACCTAACCTAACAGTGGACCTCACTTGCTGTTAGGTTGATCCTGCCCTTTCCAGTGGACCATAAAATAAGTACAGTAGACCTCACCTTTTGTTAGATCTGATTGGGTTGAATCGGATTGAACCATTCCATTTTAGTTAGAGAATCGCGAATTTGGTACTGAACCAACCGATTCTCTTGTAAAATTCAGACTTGTCAAGAAATTGGTGAACACTAGTTGTTGATGCAAGCACAAGATTATGTATTATTCGAAACGATACCGTTTCTTACAAAATAAGGATTCTACAAATACTAGTCGGCCAAAAACTCTCCGACAATCAAATCAATTAATTGAGTTATAAAATTAAACAGACAATTCCGTATTTAGTTTCCTCATACCTTATTAGTTGGATGGGGCTTCTTCTTATAGCTATCACTCTTTTCAGTGTCAGTTTGTTGTAGATACGAGATTTTGCAAGGAGTTTATCAACTCTTTGAATTAAACCTATCTTATTGGTTTGTTTGAAGTGCTCAAACTAATCTTTATTTGAATTCAAAATCAGTCAATCAAGATACTGTTGTGCTTCTTTATTTACAAATCAAACCAACTCTTGGTCTACCTCATCAATTTTATTTTTGGTTTACCTCGTTACAAATTACCTTATCTCAACTCCTCCTTATCAACCGACTGATTTGCCGAACCATGGCTAGTTCTTAAAAAATGTATAACGCACTTGTTCTCCTATTAGGTTGATCCTGCCCTTCTCAGTGCCAACTTGAAATAAAATGCACTATAGAGTATCAACTTAACCGTAGACTCTACATTTGTTGAATTTTGGCTGAGTTGAACCGGATCAAGCCAATCCGCTTCAGTTGAAGAATTGCCAATTTGTTACGGAATCAGCTAGTTCTCTTATAAGATTTAAACTCATTGATAAATTGGTGAGCACCAGTAACTGAAATTCAATTTCCAATCGACCAATTCACCGAACCAGATTGATGGAGATTCCAGCTCTTTTCAGTGCTTTTGGTTCTATTTGGATCCGGATGGATAATCAGCAGTTGGATCGGGTCATAAAAATGGGAGACAGACGCGGGACCGTTCGTTACTTAAAATAGTTGTGATTCTTGTGAACGGTCGGGTTATTTATAAAATGATTATGAAAAAATAGAGCTCAAAATTAAATATATAAAAGTTTGAGGCCTGATGACGTGGTGCACCCAGGACCGTCAGATATTCCCGCATCGGGCTGAAATATTGCAACAATGGCCCACTTTTAACCCTTGATCCGCGTGACTTTGACCGAACCCTAAACCACCCGATCCGCTACTATCGCACCTCCCTCTACCAGCTTTGTAATCTCTGTTCCTTTCTCTCTCTACCCTTTCTCTCTCTGTCTCTAATCTCTGTTCATTTCTCTCTCTACATTTTCTCTCTCTAAACTCTAAACTGCACATTCATTACATGCAAATCAATACTTTTTGTTCTCTCTATAGTCTGAATAGTATAATAGTTCAACATTCATTGCGACGAATCAAACGCTCGTGTAGTATAGGATTTAAGAGCATTTACAGCCATTGATACGATCAGCAACAATGGCAAAATGGTTCCTAATTAGGAGAAGAATGAGCACATTGTGTGTGAATCAATGGTCGTCGTTGTGATTTCAATGGCAGAATGATCAAATCTGTTAGTAGCGTATTAGGGTTGTGATAATTTAGTATGTCTGATTTGGTGGCCCGCACGGGTCGGCATCAACAGCGGTACGAGGACGGTTATCGCCTTGTCGCAGGGTAATTTCCGTCAGTTTCATCAATCATTTTGATACATATACATATATATGTGAATTGTGATATATATATATATATATATATATATTGTGTTAAGTTCGATCATTTGAGATGACTATTTTTTTGGTGATATTTTAATGCAGAATATTTTATGTGGCTTCTTGTGATTGACATTGTTGATGTTGATCGTTGTTTGAGATGAATTAATTTATGTTAAATTTGGATAATTGTTGATTGCTAATGGGTAGGTTATATTTTTATAAAATAGTGTATGATTACTACAATGAGTATCTTTATTTCCTGTTGTTGGTGTGTTTATGGATTGCTGCGAAGGTGGGGATTCAATTGGGATGTTTGTGGGTTTTTAGCCATTAGAGGAGAAAAGTTAAGGCCTATGGGATTTCTAATTTTAATGAGAGCTATATTTGAACCTATTGAATCCATTATACCATGGTGCGAATGTTGCGAGTCTGCATTGGTTCTTTGGAGGCACTTTTTTTTTTTTTCTTTTTTCTTTTTCCCTTTTTTTTTTTTTTTTGTGAAGAAGAAAGGCTATAGGCAATGATGACGAAAAAGGGTATGTGGTAATATTAGATTTGAATGTCTGAAATGATGTGAATGAGTTAGGATCTGAATTGCTTTTAACACCTTGCACAGTGGGATGAAGCGCCTTCGAAAATGTTTTAGAAACTTCATTAAGTTATCGAGTGATCATTTTGGGATCGTTGCATGAGAAGCTAATGCTGATATAAAGTGCTGGATTTTGGATTTTCGGAGAACTTAAATTTCACAGTGATCATTTTTTTATCATTAATTGTCTCATTGTATGTGTAGTCATCATATGGTGACTTTCTCTTTAAGTGTTGGCTGTACTACTATATATGGTTTTAGTTCATGCTGAAGAGTTACTTGTCAAGTATTTCTTTTTGTTTAAGGTTCTCTTGTTGTAAAACTGTATGATGAATAATTTACTCCACAGACGGAGGCCAGTATCTGTCAGTTTTGACAAGAAATTTCTTTTGCAAATGCCCATATACCCTTGCTATACTTAATACTTTTAGAAGATTTTTATTTGTGAATCTGCCATGGCTAGATGCCAGTTCAAAATTTAGATATTTTGGTTCAGAGTGAAATAACTTAACTACACCCTATCCCAAATTCAAGGGGACAGTTGGAATCACATTTCTTATCATACTTCTTCACGGTTTCCTACCAGGTGCATTCCATTTAGGTATAGAGAATCTGATGAAGGTAGTGATGTGAAGTCGGAGAGGATAGTTGAGGTGCTTATGATCAGCTCACCTAGTGGACCAGGTCTCTTGTTTCCAAAGGTATAAAGCTGTTATTTATTTAGTTTTTGCATGCAGTACTGTTATCTTTGTTTTCAAGTAATTGTACCTATGATGTTTGTTATTGCTTTTACTTCTACAGCAGAATAATTTTTAAACTTGATTGATATGAACATTTTCAAAACCAATGCCAAATATAACACAATATATGCTATCTGATCTGAGTTTCCATTGGTTTCCAAGTTTTGCTTTCTTCCTCTTCCTACCGAATCAAAAACTATCAGGGCACTAAGTTTTACCTGCAGCTTGCAAGTGCTGAATTTTAACTGTTGATGTTTAACTATTGAATCTGTCATTTTCAATTTTCGTAAGGGTAAATTTGTCCAGCTATTGTTGCAAATTGGGCAGTTTGAGGAATCAACCCAAGATATAAAAATCCCAGTGCAAGCCCGATCCCAGCCTTTCCAACCCAAAGAGCATAACATAAGCTTAACTTGAATGGATTGGTCGGGTTGTGTGTAGAAACTAAAAGCAGCTAAAAATAACTAAATAGTAACAAAAACATGGGGAGTGAGGAGAGTAATTTAAATTTGGAGGAGCTTCATGGCAAATTGGCAATACACCCTTCATGGATCCCTTCCCTTGAACTTATCTTTGTTGATCTGTTGAAACCCACAACACCCCCCAATTTGAAATTTTCAAATAACCAGATCATCAAATCATTGGGGTTCCCAAAATCCCTTTTGGGGACGGATAACCAAGTTGAAGATCTCCTCTTCTCGCTTCAACTCTAATGGATATAAGAGATCCACGGACATCCCAAAAGGTTCTCCGAATTTGTCTCCTTCCTTATCCCCAAAATAGGAGGCCAAGAAAGGGCCATTTTACAAGCCCTTGCTTCTAAACCCTCTAATGATGGGGAACAATGCTGAAATAGATGATCTTCTGTCTTATAGCTAGCTTTGTAGTAATGCACATACTAGAAAACAGTATTGAGTCTTGTCCTTTTAAAGAGTTTGGGGGCATTCATTTCTTTTCATAATAAATCATCCTTGCCAAGGTTTCGACTTCAGTGAGGGGTCATACCAAACAATATGAACAGGAAGTGAGGAGGTGGAATCCTAGAAATAAGGGACCGTTAAGAGAATTTACGTCATCAGTAGTCATTGAAGTTTAAAACCTAGGTTCTCTCTTCTGAAAATGAAGGGCTAGACTATTATGTGATGGATTTACATCTTCAAATAGCTCTGTGAAGGGCTAGACTATTATATGATGGATAGTTGAAAACTTTAATCTTGCAGCCTTCTTTTCTGGGTTCTTTAATTGTTTGTTGATTCATTTTTTTAAGTCGCTCATGTTTAGGTTGTGTAACTTTGGCAGGCAAAAATTCAGGTGTATTGAGATTTCTACAGAAGGTCCTGAGAGGATATAATAATTCATGGACTCTTTTATTTATTTTATTTTTTTCTGTTTTTGCATTGAGGCGAATGTAACACTCAGGGATCTTTAAAATTAATATATATGAAATGGAGAATATTTTAATCAAGTATGCGTGTGCTTGGTCCAGTTCTGAAGATGGCAAGAAGTTTGTAGATGTTGCATGGACTTTCTAATTGACCCTTGGGTATGAAGGTGGCTGTGTGGCGCATGTATTCTATATGTTTGGTCATATTTTGTACCCAGCAAACATACAATAGTTTAATTTAAATATATAGAGAGAATTCTTTTATCATGCTTCTTTTGCTACATTATTACATTAAAAATGAGTGGAGTGCCCATATTGAGTACACCATGTTACATAAAAACACCATATACGTTAGAAAATGAAACAGATTATTATAAATATGATTATTTAGCAGTATGCTAGACCACTTTGGAATTCAAAAAAAAAAATCTTGGCTGTAATTTTTTACTCTAGGAACAGTTTTTTAGGGGATACAAACCAAAACTTGCATTATGTTGAATATACATAATCGTGCTTGGAATCACAATGGGCCTGACAAAGATTTAAAATAAAATGCCAAGGTGTATGTATTGATATTTGCCAAGTGAATTAGTTCTGAATTAGTCGTTAATATTGTTCTGCAGTATGCCTGCAATTCCTGCTTTTTTGCAAGTTTAGTTTAAAAACCTAGACAGTTTATCATGATAATATTCATGACACTGGTGTTATCTCCTTCCAGGGTGGCTGGGAGAATGATGAAACTGTTGAGGACGCAGCAAAAAGAGAAGCTATTGAAGAAGCTGGAGTTCGCGGGGACTTAATAGTGAGAATTACTTTCTCGGATTGATTTTTGCTTCCATTTTGTTCTTTTACTCTCTCTTTGGTTCCCAGGAGTTAGTATTTCTGCCAATTGGATTGCTGCATCTAATGAAAGAATGAGAGTGACAACTTATGGGTGATCAAGAAATATATTTAGGACTGGCTTTTTGTTTTATAGGAACTTCGGGGTAGCACTGAACACTAATAAAATTATCTTTTTAGTTATTGATCCCTCAAAAGGATTTGAAATCATGTAAGCATAACCAAATTTTTACATGTTGCATATATGACATGAATCATTCTGTTTTGTGTTTCACTTGTGATGCTTATGGATAAATATCACATTCTTTGTGATGTCTATGTTACTGCTGGTTTCTTCCTTGTCTCTCTTTTTATTTTTTCTTCTTCGTCATTTTCCCCCCTATTTTATTCCTTCATGTTATTTTGTTAGCTCGTGTCTACTGCCAAGATTGAATTATATGTTTGTATTTTTATCCCTGATATTCCTCGGTGCAGTAGGATAGTAGGGCTGGATTTCAATGTATGTTAATGATTTCATGTAATTGGGATCATAAAAGTGGAACGACTTTTGACTATATTAGTGTTACAGGGATTCCTGGGATTTTATCACTTCAGGAGCAAAACCCACCAAGATGAATTCAGCCCAGAAGGTTTATGCAGAGCTTCAATGTATGCTTTGCACGTAAAGGAGGAGCTTGATTCATGGCCTGAACAAAACATCCGAAGCAGAAATTGGCTACCCATAGCAGATGCACTTGAGAAATGCCGGTATCCATGGATGAGGAGTGCTCTGTTAGAAGGCTTCTCTAAGTGGCATGAGGAAAAAATGAGTAGAGAGGAAAACCTTCCGGTTCAAGATTGATTTAGCGACTGTGCATAAGCACCTTAGTTCACAGTTCAAGTGTATACCAACTAGCTAGTATCTGTCTCGGGACAGTTTTTCTTTTAATCAATTGTGGAGTGACATAGCATATCTATTGTTCCAATTGTTGAGTCTAATTCCTTGCACAAACTTTTTCTAATTCGTTCTTGTATTGGAGTTTTCTTGATGACCTCGCTGACTCATGTATTTTTGTTGAGAGAGGAAAACAAATACAATGTTACAATTGACTCACCATTGTCATGCCTTTCCTCGAAGATCAGTGTATTTATAGAAAATATATCGAACACCAATTTCTGAATTTCTAGAACACGCATGTGTAGAAAGTATAAACATTTTTTTATCTTTTTATTTTGTTTATTGTAAACAGATAAGACAGGATTTAAAACATTTACAAGTGGATTGTTATCTACGTTTCAATTAGTTAATGTAAGAAATAGAAATTGGAAGAAACAGATTAGTTACTGGAAGAGACGTTTTGGTGACTTTGATTCTGCTTGATAACAAGAACAGACCAAAGGAATTAATAGAACTGAAGAAAAAAAAAAAAAAATTTAATAAATGAAGATACAGAAAAGTACTCTCTTCTTTTGTTTTATATATATATAATTTTTTTGTGTGTGTTATAGATCCACCATTGTGTGTGTGTGTGTGTGTGTGTGTGTGTGTGTTCATTATACTCGCAGTCAATTTCCCCCTTAATTTTTAGTGCTTACCACTCTTGGCACTTGAGGATTCACATTGAAATCCTCAGTGAAACTTGAGAATGGGTAATTCTGAAGAGGTTAATGATTTTTGTTTAGATGCAAGTGGTAAGAAAAAGACACATACTAAAGCTACAACGAAGCTGAAAAAGAGTCGATCAACTCACAAAATCATGAGGTACAATTTATACAAAATAAATAGCAGTCACATATTATATACTGAAAAACTCACCTCAGCTAACAACATAATCAGTGAAATAATAAATGGCCTACATCTATCATTTTCTCATGGCTGCTTGTAATTCGTCACCGTTAGTAACACAGTCCCAGTTCTAACCCACCCCTTTGCGTCACTCTTCCCATCTCTCTGTGCTCATTGTGTTTATTGACAGTAAATATATATCCTGTCATTTGTGTACACTGCAAAAAATGGTATAGCGTCCAGCAAATTTGATCGACCAGCGCAGCAGCAGCAGCAGCTTCTCACCCACCTCTCCAACGCGCTGAGGGGCCAAAGCCTACATAGGCTGTGGAGCAAACTGAAAAGGAAAATTTTGTGAAGGGGTGTTGTTATCGTGAAGTATCTGTCGTACCAGATGAACCCTCGTCGAGAGCAATATCAGCAGGATCTCCAAGCCATGGCCTTCCCTCTCTCCACTGAAATTTAATCCGCAACTTCCCGTTTGCATCTACACCAACCACCTGACCTTTGCTTGCATGCGTCTCCATACCCCATCCCCACCGTGGGCTCACCAACCCCTCTCTTATCCTCACCATATCCCCAACTTTAAATGGCCTGATTCTTTCCATTTCCCCTGCCTTACAAAGCCACAGTCTGTCCAAGAAGCAGAATGCCACCCAGAGGTCCCCATCTTCTATACGGTGCACCACCCCAATGCTCAAGTGACTCACATCTCCCCACTGGTGAGTTGGGGTCGAAACTAATGCCCTAACCCTAACCCAGTCTCCAATGCAGAGTTCTTCTTCCTTCACCAGATCCACTTCAGATGGATCTAGCATCCAAGCCTTTGAGCCAACTGGTGTATGCATTCTCAGTTTTCCATCTGCATCAATTGCTGATATGGTCCCAACACTAGCATGGCTGTGACCCGACCACCCAAACCGTGGCTGCTTCACGCATCTTTTAACCCTAACCCTATGGCCAATTATAAGCCTGTCCACTCTTTCAAGATGGGAAGTAGGCCCCACCCATCCTTCTTGTTCCCCGCAAAACCCAACAAGGATATTTCCACACCATTCATCTCCATCGTATACAATCCCTTGTACAACTCCAATGCTACCAGGCTCAATAGATTTCCAATTATTTGCATTGTTTTTCATTCTGACCCATTCTCCAACTTCAAACATCTGCTCTGTCTCCAGATCTGCAGGATCTCCTCGCCACAAACCCGGCAAACCGAAGAAGGCCACCCTCACTTCTCCATCAGCATTAACACTGGTTAAAACACCTCGTGAATCAGGCTTGGCCCCTCTCCAGCCCCACCTTGGCTCAACTAGTCCAACTCGAAATCGAACATGCTGCCCTATTTTGAAGCTTGGAACCTTTTCAACATCTGTGTAAGGAGTGACCAACTTCCCTTTACGGAAACAGCATGCCAATTCTATATAACCACTATCTTGTACACTATGCACAACTGCTAGACTTTCTTTCCCAATACTGTTCCAATCATAACTTGGTCTGTTCCCCAGGCTTGGTTTGGAGCGTACCCAATCACCTACTTCAAAACCTGAAAGCCTTTCAGCATCTCCAGGAGAAACTTTCCACAAGCCAAGTCTACCAACAACTCTAACCTGAACAGAAAACCAAAATCCACACCTAATCAGCAATCCAGAAAGTAAAAAAAGTAAAGGAATATGAGGGCCTAGAGCTAGCCCTTAGGGATGAAACTTAAAAGCAAATCTAAATACTTTTGTATTAAATGCCACTATTTCTCACTTCTACATTCAGGTCCTACACTTTTATGAAATTTGAAAATATCTTTCAATGTATTTTGCATTTTCTCTTGGATGAGTAACAGACATAAAAGTAATGGAACATGGAATTTCAAGTAAACAATAAGACAGTGGGTTAATATACCCCACCCCCAACACTCTCAAAAATGATAATAAATAAAATAAAATAAAAACAAAAATACAGACCAAAAAAAAGGCCAGAAACACAGAATATTTGATAAGTTTATAAAAATTGACTGCTTATATAAATGATTGTTCAAATATACAAGTATAAAAATATAAATTTATATATAAAGCACGTCTCAGCAGTAAATTTATCCTATTTCCTCAGAATTTGTCAACCATATTCCATATCTGTATCCATACTTCACAAATACACTAAGGGTTGTGCTCCAATGAGTAGTTGCACTTGCCATCACAGTGCACCACTAAATCATAAAAAGGGCAACAAAAATATTTAAAAAAAATTAACAAATCCAGGAGGGAAGTAAGAGGGGTGAGGTTCCAGTAACCTGCAACATAATTGGCAGAATGCGTTCCCAAATGGGTTGCTCGTGGAGAGAAACAATTTTAACACGAGATGAAAGATAAGAAATAGAAAATGCTTACATTTAGAGCCCCATCCATGTCAATTCTCACAATTTTTCCAACAGAAGCAGGAGTTTCATTAGACCATCCAAGCCGTGGCTGAACTATCGATGGCATCACATGAATTTCTTGTCCCACTTCAAAAGGAGGCACCTTCTCCATGTCTGTTACTGAACAACAAAAAGGCTTGCTCCTGAAGCAAAAGGCAACCCCCATATCACCATCTTCTTCCAAACTATGAATTATTCCAATACTGTTCCTTGTGATATCCTCCCATCCATATTTTGGAGAAGAGACTGAAGGTTTTACTTTAACCCAATCCCCAACCTGCTCATTTGCAATGAAAACACAAATAAGATATTTTATTGTGAACCATACATGCAAAATCATTGTTATTATAATTTTTTTCTTTATTTTGGTAGGTAATCATTGTTAAATTTAATAAATTGGACACACATTACCTTGAAATCCTCCACCTTTTCCATGTCAGAAGGATCAGCTTGCCATGGTATTGGGCGATTTGGGATTTCAATTATCAGGAGACCATCACTCTCTATCTCACTTATTCTTCCAACACTATGATGGGTCTCACCACCCCAAGCATATCTGGGCTCTGCAACCGAGCGCTTCACACATACCCGATCACCAATCTGTAAAAATCATATACTACATCATTGTTAAAATGTAAAACACTGAAAAGAGAACCAATAACTAAAGCGAAAAACACAGCCACCGTCCCAACTAATTCACTATTAATTATCCACCAAAGCTTTAGCCCAAGTGGTATCTCCTCCTCCTTCCAAACGGAAGGTTGAGGGTTCTCATCCCCAGGATTATAATGGGTGCCTGCGATTTACCTACCACCGCAACATCAAAAACAGCAACAAGAGGGAAAAGAGGGGGAGGGGGGGAAGAAGAAGTAACTCTTACCCTGAATGGGACAACAGGCTCAACCTCCTCAGGTTCACAATGCCAAGGATTTGGAAGGTAACTCAATTCTAACAACAGACTATTATCTGGTCTAATACAGTACACTATACCAATGCTGCCAGGTGTTACAGATCCTAATCCATGCTTGGCCATGGTAAGAGTGGGCCGAATACGAACCCAGTCCCCAACCTTGAATTCTTCCACCCTCTCCATTTCAGCAGGATCAGCTTTCCATCCTCTGGATGCTCCAGGAAAGCCAACCCGTAGAATCCCATCATCATCAACACATAGAACAGTTCCAATGCTATCACGCGATTGACCACGCCAACCAAACCTAATAATGAAACCAGATCATTTATCATATTCTTCAATCATGCATTGAACTTATGGATCTCATCCGAAGCTGACCAAAAGCATGCCTTTAATAACTTAAAATACTTCAGAAAATGCGATATTCTAATTACTATTACAATTAGTTTTTATTTCTGTTAAAATAATTAAAAAAAAAAACATCAAGAATTTTTGCAGGCATGAACCATAAATATACATAGAAATTAATATTCCAAAGACGAACAAAAACTGACTGCACCAGATGTTACCAATAAAAAAAAAACATCAAAAATTTTTGCAGGCATGAACCATAAATATACATAGAAATTAAACTAACTTTTTTTTTATTGTGTAAAATGTTATTATGTCCACCCTAACTGCACACATAACAGGAGGCAACTTCCACAAAGATGGGTAGGCCCTCAGTTACTCTGCATCCCTTGAAATTGGCTGTTATCCTTTCCTGCTTCTAAATTGAACCATGTCAGTGTTATCAAGCGCACTAAGGCGCTAGAGTTCCTTTGGAGCCTAGGCGCGCACCTCAGTGAAGTGAGGCGCACAAATGAAAATTTAAATTACTATTAAAGTATATTCATATTCCATATTAAAGGCTTAAATGTTGTCAAAGGCGCACCTGGACACACAACAAGCGCAAGTGTTGCACCTGTATGAGCCTGGTAACTAGGCGCGCCTTTAACAACACTGAACCATGTTTTTGACAAACAAGAAACATGTAAAGGAGCCTGATATGAAGTTGAGGGTATGTCAGATAGGTAATCAATGTAGAATTTTAAATCATCTCTTGAAGCCTATTCAGTTGTTTAAGGTCCTTTCACAACAATCCACAGTAATGCTCGTAGCTTTACTGCTGATGTAAAGTAGGGAGGGGGGGATCAATAGGGACATTTCTCAGGAGAATCTCCATTGTTAGTGTCTAATTACAGATAAAACAGAGCAAGGTTTTCAAGCCATGTCATTCAAATGCTAAAAAAGAGACAAATAAAGAGACGGGAACACAAACTCAAGAGTAAACAAATTTCTAGCTAATAGCTTAAAAAAATAGAATAAAATAAAAAAATACAACCATGGGAACAATGGCCACTAATAAAATTTTCCAACAAAATTTGGCAATAGGCTTTCAATCAAAGTAGAGTTTGGGGTTCACAAGGTGCGAATTGATAAATTAATTTTTCAAAGAATTTAATTTTTTATATGAAGATTTGGTATGAATAAATTAAATTAGTGTTGGCGTTCAGAAGGTTCGAATTTATGTGCATGACTATTAACTCAAGTTGAAGATAATGCTAAATATATGTGGTCAAAAACTCATTGATTAGACACTAACAGTATCTGATTGCATATGCACCAATTCAAAATTAATTTCTTCCAATTTTCATACCATGCTGTTTCTTGCATAATCCATATCATTGATTTTAGCAAAATATCCAAACTTTCAGATTCTTCTGCCCTATAACCATTGGACATCAAAAGGATTCAGATCCACAGCCTAAATAGGTTTTCACAAAAATTTTACCAATTAAATCTAAGAACCTATCCAACATTATTTTTATTTCCCTTTCTCAAAAGAATCAAGTCCAGAATTTTATCAGAGAGCTAGATTGTGCAAATTATGTGTTTTATTAAATAGGAGTTATTTATCATTATAAAACTAAAAAAGGTTGCAAAAAACAGATCTATGTTGAAGCTGTTATAAGATAAAATTGCAATTTAATGATTAACAGGCAAGCGTACAACTCCTCCGGTTCATAGTCGATGTGCAGTACAACTACAAATAACCCATCATATAAGCAGCAATGAAGCCAAAAAGGTTAAAGCAAGTCAACCAAACCTCGGCTCTTTGACATCCGCTCTAAGTTGCACATGCTGTCCCCTGTCCAACGGAATAACTTTTACAACTTCATTTGCAAGAACGCGAGCTTCTCCAGAACAAAACGACACAATCAAATAGTCCTTGTCAGGGACACTTTGCACGAAACCAACACTCTTATGTTTTGCATCTTGCCATCCATAAGTGGGAGTTGTCACACTTTTTTTAAATTTCACCCAGTCCCCAACTTGATAACTAAATGCCATTTACAGATACAGAGATTAGAATGTATAATAACCACAATCAAGTATGCAATTTTAAGAGATGAGAAGGTTTTAGAAAAGGTTATGGCAACGCAATGATATAATTTTTTACTCACACTGTAGGTGACAAATGAACTCCCTTATTCATGAGTGCCTCCATCAAATCTTCAGAAATCCATTCCCGTGGAAGGGCCTCCAGAAAATCACCTAATGTCTTACCACTGCTACCCATCACAAGTACATTAGTATAACAAGGTTCAACAGCAAACATCTTGGGGCACCATTTCAAAACTACATCTAGCCTTTGAACATGGGAAAGGATGACAGATATAATTTAAGAAGAGGCAGCCAGGCCACACGAAGAAGTGGTTTTTTTATCAGGTACTTGCCTGTGATTCCTAACTTCAACAGCAGCATCCGGATACCTAAGCATAACAACAATCCATTCAAGATTTTCACGTATCATCTTTGCTGAATCAGCTGCTATATGGAAAGCAGTGTCACCTTCATCATCCTGCCAATAGTGAGCAAACAATTTGCATATTAATGGTAGAAAGAGGAAAGATACAATGTTTGATATATTGAGAGCCAAAAAACGAAAAAAGAAGAAAAGAAAAGAAAAGAAACCTCGCATTTTGATGTATCGTTCATGACCTATAACCAGATTGAGAATCCAATAGTTAAATACTTAATCTGTGACCTGACAGGGGATACACATGCATGCGCAGAGCTGAAGAAATTGCAACACAATTTTATTCTTTCCTGCTCTTTCTAATAGGAAATAGATTTTTGTTCACACAATGTTGCGGATAGAGTTGAATGATTATGAATTCAATCATATGTTGTCCAAGTATATAGAACAGTGATTTGAAGTTTTAAACTAGTCCAACCAAAGAATTTACAGCCTCGGCCTAGAGATGAAGGCAGAAAAATTCTCTATGTATGATTAAGTAAAACATTCAGTGTTATTAGAAAAATAAATCATATGCTCAATTACAAGGGGCAATGAGAAAATTTTATCACAGAAACACAGAAACAAACGCAAAATAAATTTTATATATGAGAACATGTTAAATTTTTTCTACAAATTTTTTATGCAATTTTTTTTTTTGCCAATAAAATTCCGAAATTAACAATTATCTCTTTTTTTCTTTTTTATAATTATGTAGATTAACATTTTTATAATTATGTGGATTAGCATACCCCTAGTCTTTGAGATGCTTTCACTTTTCTTATATCTGGTGCGCTGATGACATAATTTTCCATATCAATTTACATTTCTATCTATTAACTTGAAGAAAAAAAAGGGTTATTATCCATTATGGTCCCCATTAATTGAGGGTGGTGAGAGGACTGGACCGGATACAACCTAACCATTGGCATTGTTAGCACAAAGTGACTGACCTCAAGATTTGAACCCATGTTGTCACACTTGACAGCCTGAACATTTTATAAGTGCGCCAAGCAATGGCCCCTAAATTTATTATTTGAATGGTCAGAAAAATATATGTGCTGGGCTAAAGACCTAGTCTCAAACTGCTAATTATCTTATGTAAATAAATTCAATCTGGGTAATCTAATTACAAGACAACTTTATGGGAGGCAACCTTATGCCTTATATCCTTTCAAGGAAAAACTTACTGCACCCGTCTAGCAAAGCACTTAATAAAATCTCAGCCAACTTACTCATAGAGCATTTCCACCTCAACCGTCCTCCTCCCTGCAGGTTGAAGTCACACAAATCTTAAAGAAAGCCTTTACCTACTCCCCTCTCAACCCTGAAAACCCCTAAAGAAGCAAGGTTCCCGCAGTGCAGATTTGAGATGTAGCTCAAAACAGAATGGTTAAGAAGATAATTAGAAGCTGCAGGAGTCATACAGGTATCGGAGCTTTGTGTTGGCATACAAGTTGAGTTTGCAAATGCGGACTTAAAGAAGTAGAATAAGTCAGTCATGGAAAATTGAAATGCAAAAAATCCCTTTTTTTTTTTTTTTGTTTTTGTTAAGTTAAATGTATTAGAAAGCGTTCAAAAGGGGAACGCGTCCCGAGATATACACAAAAAGAATGTATGAACTCAAAGAACCCAAAAAGTCCACAATGTCCTCTAAAGAAGAATAATCCCTCCCCCAACCCCAACAAAAAAGGGTACAGATAATAGAAAATTTCAGCTCTCCAATAGAGGACTCCTTCCCATCAAAAGATCTTCTGTTCCGCTCTTTCCAAAGACTCCACCAAACGCAAAGAGGGGTCACCCTCCAGAAGTCTCTAGCCTGAGCCCCCACCCATTGGCCCCTCCAGATATCTAGCAATCCTCGAGAAGTCTGAGGCATGACCCAATGGATGCCAAACAAACCAAGCACTCCAACATTCATAAGCAACAGGACAATGCAACAGAAGGTGATCCACGGACTCCCCAAAACACTTGCAAAGACAACACCGGTTAACAATGATATGTATTCTCTTCCGTAAATTGTCCAAAGTCAAAATCTTACTCCAAGCTGCAGTCCACACAAAAAAGGCCACCCTAAGGGGCGCCTTAGAGAGCCACACCGTCTTCCACGGGAAGGGCAACCCATGAAACCCAGAGAGGCGCACAAAGAATGACCGGACCTGGAACGTCCCATTAGAAGAAGGCACCCAAAACAAGGAATCCACACCAGTGCCATCCAATTCCTGTCTATACAAAAGGGCCAACAAGCCAGTGACATCATCCAACTCCCAATCCTGAAAAGGTCGCTTGAATCGTACATCCCAAGACAACGTCCCGCTATCAAGACGATAGCAGTCAGCAACCATAGCATGTTTGTCAACAGCAATCCTAAACAATCTTGGAAACAAACAGAGCCAAAGGCCTATCTTCACACCAGGAATCCTCCCAAAACCTGACAAATCTTCCATCACGAACTCTGAATCTAATGTGTTTAGAGAATTCATCCCACCCCTTCCCAATGGACCTCCACACCCCCACACCATAAGCAGCCCTAACAGGCTTAGCTGACCACCCCCCTCTCTCCTCCCCAAAACGACAAGAAATGACCTTTCTCCATAATCTATGTCTTTCACTGCCGAACCTCCAAAGCCACTTGCCTAAAAGAGCATTATTAAAAGGGGCCAGTCTTCTAATTTCGAGACCACCAAGCTGAAGAGGCTTGCAAACCTGATCCCATTTGACAAGATGATATTTAAACTCCTCCCCACGACCCCCCCAAAGGAAATTCTGTTGGAGCATCTCCAGTCTTCCCACAATAGAGGCTGGAATCCTAAAAAGCGAGAGAAAGTATGTTGGAAGGCTTGACAAAACACTCTTCACTAACGTGACTTTTCCACCCTTGGAGAGATATTGTTTTTTCCAACCAGCCAATCTTCTCTCGACCCGCTCAATCATTGGGTCCCAACTTCCCACCCTCCTTGCCGAGTCCCCCAGCGGTAGACCAAAATAAGAAATAGGGAAGCGTCGCGTCCCACAGCCTAAAGCAGTAGCCAGAGAATCCACATCCTGCACCTCCCCCACAGGGACAAGCACACTTTTACCCACATTGACTTTCAGACCAGAGACAGTCTGAAAACAAACCAAAACACATCTCAAATACTGCAACTGGGACACCTCTGCCTCACAGAAAACAATAGTATCATCCGCAAAATGTTGAGAAATCTCCATCTGCTGAACCGATTCAGGGCCGAGCTTGAAACCGCTAATAAACCCCAAATCCACAGCCCTTCTCATCAGCCTACTAAGGGCCTCCATAACAATAATAAACAAAAATGGGGAAAGAGGGTCCCCCTGCCTCAGACCTCGAGAACTACCAAAGAATCCCGTAGGAGACCCATTAACCAAAATCGAAAATCTGACAGTGAAAACACATGTAGTAATCCATTTCCTCCATTTCGCACCAAAACCCATCCTCTCCAACAGATACAACAGGAAATTCCAACTGACATGATCGTAGGCTTTTTCGATATCCAACTTACAAAGAACACCAGGAACACCACTACAAAGTCTAGAATCCACGCATTCACTGGCAATGAGAGCCAAGTCCAGAATCTGTCTACCCCCAATAAAGGCATTCTGAGACTCGGAAACAACTCCATCAAGCACCTCCCTCAGCCTAAGCGCAAGGACTTTCACAATGATCTAATAGATACACCCAATCAGACTAATTGGTCTAAAGTCCTTGACATTAGAAGCACCACCCTTCTTAGGAATAAGGGCAATAAAGGATGCGTTCAGTGATTTCTCAAATCTCCCCGTGGAATGAAACTCATGAAAAGTGCTCATAATCTCAAGCCTAACCACCTCCCAACTTTCCAGCAAAAATCTCATAGTAAAACCACCGGGGCCTAGAGCCTTATCGCCATTACAACTCTTGAGAGCCTTCAGCACCTCCTCCTCCGAAAAAGGAACCTCCAGCCCATCCCTTTCCAAAACAGAAATAGAGTCAAAATGAAGGTCATCAAGCCTTGACCTCCATCGAAGAGGCTCAGAATAAAGCCTTTGGTAGAAAGAGACAATACCATTTCGCACCTCCTCCTCTGTAGACAAGACCGAACCATCCACACACAGTCGCCCAATATGGTTGCCCCTCCTCTGAGCATTAGCAGTTCTATGAAAAAACTTGGCATTACGATCCCCCTCTTTGAGCCATAAGGCCCGAGATTACTGACGCCACGAGATTTCCTCCAATAGAGCAATTTCCACACATTCTGCCTGACAAGCTGCTCTCCTAGTGCGATGAGACTCAGAAAGAACACTCTCCCCTTCCATTTTATCGATCTCGGCAATATCAGCCAAAGCCCTATTCTTCCTCCACTCCAAATTCCCAAACTCCTCCTTATTCCACCTTTTGAGCTTATTCTTCAGGAGTCGAAGCTTGCTTGCAAGAATAAAACTGGACGTACCCACCACCAGGTCTCCTCCCACCAAGAAAGCAAAGAAACCTGGAAATTATCCGCTCGAAGCCACATGTCTCAAATCTAATAGGAGTGCAAAGAGATCTCAAACCTCCACAATCCAAAACCAAGGGGATATGGTCCGACGTAACCCTAGCCAGCACAGCTTGAACAACATCCGGGAACTTCTCCTCGCAGTCGCCAGAAATCAAAAATCTATCAAGCCAAGAAAAAGTTGGCGATTCCCTCCCGCTGGACCAAGTAAAAGAAGCTCCCTCAAGAGGAAGATCAATAAGCTGACGACCATCAATAAAATCAGAAAAATGCATCATAGCTTGAGTCCACGAACCACCTGTAGATCTCTCTGCCGGTGACCTAACCACATTAAAATCACCGACCACACACCAAGGAAGAGACCACCTCCCCTTCACCCCACTCAACTCCTCCCACAACCCATCCCTCACACCATCATCAACCGGCCCATACACCCCAGAAAAACCCCAAGAGAACCTATCCTCCTCCAAAACAAAAGCACAAGATAAAGAAAATCTCCCCCTGCAAACCTCCATCTTAGCCATCCATCTCCTATCCCACATAATGAGAATACCACCAGAAGCCCCAGTTGATGGTTAGATCAAAGCTTTAAATGGAAACAATCCCAAGTTGACGGTTAGATCAAAGCTTTAAATAGAAAACAAGAAACACCAGGGTTGAGTGCATTAGAGGCAGCTAGGAAGGAGAAATCAAAGCAGCGCTAGGTAGGATTGCTCTTATGCAGAAGATTAGTTGGAGCCCTCTAGCTGAAGAAAGGAGCAGGAACAGGAATTTTTTTTCATAGACTTGACAAATCCCACAGATGTGGCAATTAAATTGGAAGATTGTTGTGGATGAGGTTAAGGATAGAATAGGGCATCGGAAACAGTATTGCACAATTCCATGAGGACTTCTACTCAAAGACCTCCTGGTGGTATCTAGACTGGATGAATGGACTTTCAGCATTAAAATATTAAAAATAACAAGGACAGAGAGTAGCTTGATAGGCAGTTCACTGACGAGGACAGGTAGAAGATCTAAAAATCTTTAATAGGGAAAAGGGACTAGAATTCTTTCAATAGGATTGGGGTACCATGAAATTGCTTGGCATGATGGTCATTAATCACATCCACAAGCACGGGTACTTCGAGCGGAGACTGAATGCTTCTTTCATTGCACTGATTCTATAGAAGGGGGGAGTGGTAGATTTAAAGGATTTACGACCAGTCAGTAGTTGCGAGTTCGTATATTTCATTGTGGAACTTGGACAGGTAATACCGTTATAGGTAGTATTATTTTAAAGCCCAGAATGCCATTCATTTTTATTTTTTTCTTTTTTTAATGAGTGTTTTAAGTTTTAACTAGAGGACCAGGAGCAGAATGCTGGGATCATTTGCAAATTGAGCACCCAAATTGGGGGTTTCTCATTGCATATCAAGGAAAGGATGGGTCGTGCATAACCAGAGAAAGTAGATTGAGTTCTGCACTTACACTCCAACAGCCTTCTTCAGGAACTTGAGGGCCTACTCAGGGGGGTCCTCTCCCTCCTTACCTTTCATTATGGTGATGGAGCCTTCCAACAAAATAAGAGGGAAAGGCAGAGAATAGGGACATACTGAAGTGTTTAGTTATAGGTAGTCCCCTGACAACCACACTTTAGATGATGATGAAACGATTGTGGTCTATGGAGGCAAGTTAGAATTGGCTGAAGTTCCTCAAATACATTCTTCTGCCTTTTCAGGCATTGTCCGGCTTGAAGACCATTTTAGCTAAAAGAAACTTGACTCTAGTTGGATAGGTAAAGGAGGTGCGTAGCTTTGTAGCCATTCTAGGGTGAAAAGAGGGAACACCCTGTCACCCCCCGTCACCTATTTAAATTTCTCCATAGGTGTTTCATTCAAGATCTCAGCCATTTGTAATAAAATCATTGAGATGTTTGAGAGGCAATTGACAGGTCGGAAGCAGAAGAGGGCAAAAGATCACCCTGATTAGGTAACTAAAACAATATGGAGTATAATTTATTAACAACATATAGGATGTCATTGAGCATCACAGACTATAAATCTTCCAACTAAATATTGCATAAACAGAAACAAGTTGAGTAGTGATTTCAGATAAACATTTGCTCAAATACTGTGAATAATAAATTTTACGTCAAAAAAGAGATACCTGTAAATTACAATTTGCACCAGCAGATAATAGCAATCCAACACATGATTTTGCACCTCTGGCCAATGCTACATGAAGAGGTATGGTATTGTGCACATTCCTAATATTCACATCAACTCCAGAATCGAGAATAATCTACACAATGGGTTGGACAATGGTAATTAGATCAGAAAAGAATAAAAAAGACTGAACAGAAAATTTCCAGATTTGAGTATTGACATCTGCACCAAATGCAATTAAAACCATGGCTTACCTACATCAAGGAGACAGATATACAATCACGTCAATTACTAGGGAAGCTATTGAACTTACCTTGACTAACTCAACATCATTAACCATAGCAGCCGTATGCAGAGCTGTTCGCCCATGTTGGGTATCTTGGGCAGTTGGATCTGCTCCAGCAGCAAGGAGCAATCGTACCAGTTCTCTGCCCTCTACAATCACAATACAAAATCAATTGGTCAAGTTACTGAAGCAAACAGAGGAAATTAAGTGCAAAAAAAGAAGGAAAAAAAGTATCATGGAACAAAACACTACTTATTTTAAATAAGTAATATTTTTTATCAGATAATGATTAAATAACCTAATATAATCAGATCCAATTTTTACCAACTTCATGATCTTTCTTTAAGGGAGCTGCCATACACAATGCAGTGCCAACCGGACTTGGTATATCAATAGCATCAGCAATCTCTTTTATGGATGCAAGTTCCACCCATCTTCTGACCACAGTCAAATTCCATGTTTCTACGCACTTGTGCAGAGGTCTGTCACATCAAAAAATTCAAAATGTGCAGCCTATAAAGGAAATAGATGAAACAAAAAGAGAACTAAAGATGGCATGCTCAAAAGATTGTAATCATGAAGAATCAAATGCACAATCTATATAATTGCAATCAGATCTGCAATGAAATAGATAGAAAATCACTTAATACTCTGCAATGAAATAGATAGAAAATTACTGTTTATTAATGATTTCATTTAGGAAGCACGGACATGCCTAAAAGGGTAAAGAGGAATCCCTGTCGGACACCGACACGAGCTGGACATGCTAAAAAACGTGTCTGAATTTTATTTTATTTTTCCAAATATTCGGACACTGCACGGACACACCTTCGACACCCATGTTGCATTCTCGGGTTTTTTTTTTTTTTTTTTTTTGTCCTTATAATGCATTCTTGGGGATTTTTAAGAAAGTTTTAGAAAAAAATATGGTTTGAAGTGTAAATATGACGAGTTGTTTAATAACTTTCAATAATATGGTGGTCATTACAAGATTACTTAAAAGTTGTTGTTTTATAAAACAATTTCATATTAAGATAATCATAAATTTAGGAAAATATTTTAGTTCAAAGATACAAACTCTTGCACGATCAACTTTGGCTCTCTCTTGTTCTCCCGCCGACCAAGCTTGGCTGCCGGTAGATGGTCTCTCTCTCTCTCTCCTCTTTTCTTTCTTCTTCTTCTTCACAAACCCTTGATACTTCTTTTTTTTCCTTTCACAAAAAAATTCTTTTTGTCTCTTTTTCTTTGCCTCTTGTTTCCATTAACTTTCTCTTCTATGGATTCTTACCTTTATTGTTAACTAACCCTTAACTATTTTTCTAACAAAACTCTAATCCTCTGTGTTTCTTTTTTTTTTTTTTCTCTTTCTTAACCGTATTTCCACCTTTCTTTATTTTTACCAGCAAAACGTAATTTTTTTTCACCATTAGGATGATAGATAATAATATTACTCTTAAATTCTTAAAGTACAACATCATATATATATATATATATATATATATATATATATATATATATATATATATATATATATATATATATATATAATACATTTATTATTAGCCATGTCCCCGTCGTATCCGTGTCCTAATTTTTTAGGATTTGCCGCGTTGCCATTTCCGTGCCGTATCCGTGTCCCGTATCCGTTTCCGTGCTTCTTAGGATTTCATTAACGTGAAAACGTTAGAAATTTGAGAAAGCAAAGAACCAAGGAGAATTGTAAGACTAATTCAATAGCACTCCTTGAGAAGCCTACAAATAAATGTTTAGCAAAATAACAAAGGACAAAACACTCAAACAGGTCCATTTAACATACTTACGTCAAATTTTTGGAATTTAAGATAGCCATCGATTTACATCCCCCGTGTTCCAATATGACAAGAGCACAGTCAGTATATTTCTTGGTAACAGCTCTATGTAGGACAGATTCACCTTCATCATCCACTGCATTTGGATCAGCTCCAGCCAACAGTAACTCCTGTTGTCATTAATAAATATGTCATAGGAGAAACTTAAAAAGTGGAAGAACAAAAAAAAAACATTTTTAACCCCAATAAAATTCCCTTGTGTTGGTTCCCATTAGAGTTTGGTGTCATTTGTTCCTCAACTTTTTTTCTTTTAAAATTCCTCATCCTTCATCTCCTTGAATATCCTATTTTTTTCTCTTGAGATACTTTCCAGTATTTTTCTAAAATAATACTCCCTCTGTCCCAAAATAAGTGCCCACCTTTCCATATTTAGCTGTCCCAATTCAAAAGTCAATGCACTGTATTTTACAACATTCTCAATTTATCCTTCTTGCATTTAACTTGTAAAAATAATTAAATGTAAAACATCAGTGGACCCACCATGGGTAGATTTGGTAATTCATTCACTACCAATACAATAAAAAAATATCGAAAGCCACATCTTAAAAAGTTTGGTTCCCAAAAAGGGACACTTCAAATGGGATGGAGGGAGTAGAACACTTACACGCATGCAATCTGGTTGGCCATGGTACGCACAGACATGAGCAACAGATGGACCAAAGCCTTCCCTCAACCTAGACCTGACATTAGCACGTCTTTTGATAAGAGCACGAACACACTCTGGAGATCCAGCTGCCAAAGCAAACACAAGAGGAGGATCCCCGTCTTTGTCTAAAACATCCACATTTGCCTCTTTGTACTCCAAAATGACCTCAACAAGTTCCACGCTACCCCGTCTACAAGCCAGGTGGAGGGCAGTCTGGCCATCAGCATTCTGTGCTTCTAAGAGTGAGCATAGTAAGCTGCCATTGTTTCCTGATGCAGCCTTTACAAGCAACTCCCTGCATTAATTATGGGGAACAGAATATGAAAGACAGCAAAAGATTTTTTTTTACTGAAAATGTAAAAGAAGGCTACAGCGAAGTGATTGACCTAACGCCATCCACATTGGCTTCAGATACAAGGCCATGTAGCAGTTTTGGATTATCCTGGAAAACCTCCAAATTAGATGAAGGAGATGGCTTTGTCACACTTGCCCCGGAGCAATTGGCAAATTCACTGTATTTCCACATAAAGCATGTATGCATATTCTTAGAAACCAATATAGCACGATAGAAAATATCAGAACAAACAGTGATATAAAAACACACAAATAATCCAAGGAATGTGTATAAAACCAACATCACAACATATATGGTTGCTACCTTAATTCTTGCTCCAAAAATCATACCAAGTGCTTAGTAGACAGAGGTCAACGTATCTAATCTATAAGAGAAGAATGATAATAGAAGGTAGCAGTTACAAATTTCTTACTTATCAGGGCTTGCAGTAGGGCTCCGAGGTATTCCTTGCAAGTGGCGAAGGAATATTGCTAACATCGAACTAAAAGTTGGTCTTTTAGACGCCTTGAACTGTAGGCACTCACCAATCATCTTCCACAATTCCCCTGGTATACCAACACCTACTACACTTGCATATTGTGGAGGTTGTCTTCGACCCTTGACAACAGCTCGATAGATTTCCTCTGAACTTAAGCCAGCCCATCTGCAGAGAATGTCAATTCTCATTAAGCAGTTACATCAATATGAGGGAAATAGTTATTAAAGGAAAAAACTAAGAGCTACTCCACATACGGGATAGAGCCAGTGCACATTTCCACCAGTGTACAGCCAAAGCTCCAGGCGTCAGACTCCGCAGATATGCCAATGGCATCATCCCAGAAAAGATTCAGTGATTTCTTCACTGGTTCCCACGCCTCTGGAGCTGTGTAGTTCGGACTGAGCATTGTACAATCCATGCATGAATGAAGCCTTGACGAATCACACTCCAACCGTGCTTTTCGGCAGGCAGTTTTCTTTAAAATTAATGGAAGTCCATAATCAGAAACCACAGCATGACCATTTGCATCCAAGAGAAGATTGGATGGTTTTAGGTTCATACAAACAACACCAGCTGCATGGAGTTCAGCTACCCCCCGAGCAATGTCTGCCCCATATCTACAGTCACAGAACAAACAACAAATCAAGACAATTTAGAGTGCCAGATTGTAATCACAACTGTCATAAAAATGAAATCAGATAGTATTTTTTTTTTTGTTAACTATGGAATCTAATTGGTTCTTTTACAGTTTCGTTCCAAAATTAATAGATGGTCCAGCCAAAATTTGACTAGTGCACATTGGGGAGAACTGGAAGCAGTAATATCCCTTATTCCCTCCATAAAGATAAATACCCAGCGACCCTAACCCTGAAACTTTGTGATACCTTGTTGATAAAATAGTGAAGCTCCAGATATATATAAAGCCAACTATAGCTCTGTGATATAGAAATCCCAGAATATAGTTTGTACTCTTAAGTCAAATTAAATACAATTTTTTCTATCCCTCTCTACACAATCCATTAAGGCCCCAAAATGAAATTTAGTCGTTCTTGAAGATGACATGTTACATGGAAACGGTTGTCACATAAGTATGTGTCAAAATGTCGAAATTATCAAATATCCTAATCCAAAGACACAAGGACACCTTTAAATATTCTTACTTTTTTTTCTTTTTTTTTTCATATATATAAGATACAATGATCATTTTATGTGACATATAACATCCAATGTGTCACTTCACTTATTTTGAAGTAACAATGTAACAAAAGAATATCAAACAAACACTTTTTATACAATTATATAGTGAAATAGAATTATCATATATGCTTATAAGGTGCATGGCCACTTACATATGTCATGCATATTTAGGTGCTGCGTGTCAAATATAAGTGTATCACGCATTTAGAAGAGGTAGTGTAAAATATGGTGTTGATAGTACCTTTCCCCATCTCCTCATCCTCCTTATCTCCAGCATTCTATCACAATGTCATGAAATTCTGAGTAGTCTGTCCCCCTCTCTTCCCTCTCAATCTTTGCCATTAAATAAGCATTACTCTCAGGTTATGTAGGTATCTATTCAATAATTTAGAAGAATTTTAAGTCCACTATACGCTATTTCTCAATAAATTTCAAGGATATTTTTGAGAAAATTCTGGACCTTGCATGCTCAATAAAAATTCTTACTTTGTTCACCTAATTAAAATACAAACAGAAGGTATGCATGCTTGGGCTTTTAGAATTTTTGAGATATCTAATAATATTTCTTAGTGAAATCTAATAATTTTAGATTCATAAATTAGTATTCAAGAACTTCATTCATAATGTTTAAGAACTTAAAATAACTAGAATGAAATTCGACAGATGAAATGACCAATTGTCACAACATTCCTCAATTTAGATTTCTAAAGTGAGCGATTATGGCAGGATCACATACAGGTCTGAAACATGCCTTTTTATAAAGGGAATTCACGGGCTGAGCAGTGTATGCCCGGGGGGCACGTGCCCCCCTGGCCTGGCCTTGCCCCGCTTAGTATAATACATACACTAAATTTATGTATTTTTATATGTATATATGAAAAAAAATCATATAATGCCCCCTAAAACTTTGATTTTCTAAAATTATCTCTTAAATTTTGTATTTCTTCTCTTTGTTACTCTTTAAATTCGTTTAATTTCCTTAAAAAAAAGTCAAAAAAAAATTTTTTAATCTAAGTCTAATTTTTTTCCATTTCAAAGTTCTCTCATTTTGTCTTTCTTTTTTAAAATTTTTGTCAACTATTTATCTTTCTTAAACGACACATTGATTGATGTATTATTTTGAGTAATTTTTCTTCTTTGCCTCTTGATTTGAAGAATCTATATTTATTGTCATGTTTACTGATTTTTTTTTTTTTTTTTTTTTTACACTATGCCCCCTGGATTTAATTTCTGGCTCCGCCCTTATTGCAGTGACTTATGTGGTTGACAAGCAATAATAAGAGAACCATTAACTGCACCATTTACAGCTAAGAGTTCTATTTGTATTTAGAACAACTTGTCCAAACAAGATATATATGAAGAGCAACTGAATTATAGAAGTGAAGTTTGGAAATGATGAACTCTGTATGTGCAATCATGCAAAATCAAGTAAAATGAGGAAATATCCCACTTAATTCCAGCTGCTTTGACTACGCATGGAGATTTCACAATGGTATTCAAACACAAAACCATAAATAAAAGATGAGTAACTGTGATATATCTCCCTTACTCCCTAAAACTATTATATGCTGAAACTTTTCAAGTCTAACAGGTATCTAAAATCTAATGCATGTGCTTGAACCAGACTTTTGCAGGTTCAACATTATATACTCAGAAATTACCCAAATCCAAATAAATTGTTATCCAAAAGTTGGTGCCTGATCACAAGATCAAACCTTTACAAAATTCGAAGGTCAAAGGAAAAAAAAAAAAAAAAACAGAGTTTCCCTGTGTAACCTTCAAAGTTCATCAAAGTAAAAGACATGTGAAGATTGAACAATCATAAAAGATTGAAAGAGACGAAAACCTGAGAATTTGCTCAAGAGTGAGTCGCCCTTCATTTCGCTGCATCTCCGTGTGGACAGACCCGCTACACTTATCCATTATAAGGGACAGACAATCCTCTGTCCTTGTAGCTCCATGGAAAGTGCATACATTCCGGCACCACATCGACGCCCGCCGCAAATTCTCAAGTTGATTCTGCACCCAAACCAAATCCGCATCGTCGTCCCTGATCACAATCTTCTTCACCGCCACTCGGTGGCGACACCGCCCTGGCCCACCCGAAAGCACAGCGGACCACGTTTCCACCCCAGCCTTCCTTTCCTCCCCAATCAGCCGAATCAATCTCAAGTCCTGGTGCGAAGCGAGCTCAATAACCGCACCGCCGCCACCACCGCACCCGGAACTCGAAGTGTGAGACTGGCGGCTGCACCTCCGCCTCCTCCTCGACTCGTCATCGTCATCTTCAAGCTCATCCTCGTCGTTCTCCTCATCTTCATCAGTAAAATCGCAGTCAAAAGCCGAGGAAGAGTTCAACGAAGAGTGGATTAAAGCGAGAATTGCATAGTTCTTGCGGAGAGCTTGCACGGAGTTGCCGACGACGGAGACGTGTCGACACCTAGGGCACGAGAGAGTCGTGTCCGAGGAATCCGAGAACATCCGGGACAGACACTCCTTGCAGAAGCCATGGCCGCATTGAAGCAGCAGAGGACACCTCTCTTCCTCGTTGTATCGAGTCTGACACACCGAACAACAAGGAATCTTCATTCTCTCTCTACACAACCGAATCCGAATCCAAATCCAAATCCAAACTCAAACAATCGATGAATTGCAATCAGGTGAAGTAAATTCATGGAGATCTTAGAGAGAGAAAATTGAGAGTGAGAGAAGCAGAATTGGTAGATCCATGATGGAATTCATCAAAAGAATGAGGTAAACTATTTCTATATAAGAATCAATCCAGAAAAATAGGTAGAAATGTAGAGAGAGAAAGAGAGGTTTTTAGTGAGAGAAAGAGACGAGAGAAGAGAAGAAGGCTTTTGAGAAGGGTTTTCAACCCCTTTTCCTTCGGTTCTATGGTTGGCTACTTGCACCTCCTGCTCCCCAACCCGTTTCTTCCGTCTCAGAGACTTGTTTTTATTATATCAATATAATAATATTAGTAGGGTTAAATTGCATATAACCAGTTTATTACTATAAAATTTTCATACTTTCTTAAAATTGTAATTTATCTTTTTTTTATTATATTGCATAAAATTTCTCAAACTGTACAAAAGTAATACTACCTCTCAAAATAGTGCTTGGTAATCTTAAAAATAGTTCTCAATCATTTAAAAAATATGTTAATTCAGTTCATTAATTCCGCGGCTAGATGGTGCTCTCATCACATGATGTTATATAAAATTGACAAATTATTATGTCACTCGTCAATACGATTCAAACACGACACAATATAAGTGGGTTTGGATTGACCTTACACGGATTCGGGTCATAAACGCGGTGACACGATTAACCCGTTTATTTAACCGTATCGGGTTAGGGTTGAGGGATTTCAACCCATTTATACCCATTTAACTTAACATATCGTAATCGTGAATATGACCTATATAATATGTTACCCGTTAAACCTAATTATTATAAATAGTTAAGTCATTTTAATATAAACTTTTGTTTTTTCTACTTATTTTGAATATTTGACTTAATTGTAACAATTTTTATTTAATATTTATTATTTGATTAAATATTAAATGTCTTATTTTAATAAACAGTACCTATTTAATAAACGGGTCGAGTTAGTGTTGAGGGTTCCTGGTATGATTATTAAATAGGTCTGAGTTGAGTTTACCTGTTTAATAGAATATCGCAATACGAATTTTATCCATGACTACGAATCGCCACCTCTAAATTGTCATGTGATAAGACTAACTTACATGAATTACAGTATGTAAATCATATACTCTTAAAAACTAAATAAATAAATTCATGTACTGTTATATTTGATGACAAAAATTTAATAAAAAAACTACTGTCTTTTAAGGAGTCTTAAATCTCAAGTATATAGATATATACAAATTATATTAATACAAAGAATATATGCAACCACACAGGGAAGAGGTATACTTCACCTTACAAACAAAAACAAGTATGTCCAGAAATGCTTTCGCACTCCTTTTACATATAGTAAATGGAAAACTCCATAAAGCCGTCAAAAGAGATTTAGAGCCAAACCCAGAAGAAGGGAACACGACGGACCAACAGAGCACGGGCAAGAGAACACCTAAATAAATATATAATGCGAACATAGCAAGGACCAAAAGCTGAGGAGTTCAAATATCATCAGGAATAGCCCCATTTTCAATAAATAAATAAATAAATGAGTGGCACAATTGCTCCCACTTACAATACATTGGGTTCCTACCTGAAAATAGGAGGTTACATAAGTTCGAATCTCCACACAAACAAATGAGTGTGAGAAAAATAAACATATATATATATATATATTTGAACCAAACTGTGAACATTATGTGTGCACGTGTGGCCTGACCCCGCTTTCTATAAAATATATACTAAATTTATATATTTTCATATGAAAATTTTCATATAATGCCCCCTTAAATTTTTATTTTTTAAAATTATCTCTAAAATTTTGTATTTCTTCTCTTTTTTATTCTTTAAATTAGTTTAATTTATAAAAATAAAATATAAAAAAAAAAAAAGTCAATTTTCCTTTTTGAATCAAACTCCAATTTTTTTTTTTTTCCTTTCAAAATTTTTTTATTTTTTTTAACTATTTATCTTTATTAAATTACTCATTGATTGACATATTATTTTTAATAATTTTTTTCTTTGTATCTTGATTTATAGAATTTATATTTATTATCGTGATTATTAAATTATTATTATTTTTGTACACTGTACCCCTCCTGAGGATACGAAAGGTGACCTGGGCCGGGTACGATCCGATTGTTGAGAACGGGTTGGACGAGAGCAACCGCCCCGAACCAAGTCTTCACTAACCAGGCCCAGGACTAGGAGATCAAGCTGAAAGCCCGACTCCAGAAAGAATAAATTGAGCCCATGACGAAAAAGGGCCCGGCGATCAGCCCAATGTAAGGAGTTAGTTAGGAAGCTTCTATAAGATCTGTAACAGTTTATAAATACACTGAAAATAGAGGGAGAAAGGGTTGAAAAATGTTTGAAGTGAATAATTTCTCTTTCTAAATTGGGAGAGCATTTTTCTTGCATCTTTAATGGCGCCGTCCATGGGAATGATGAAGATTGATTCGATCACGACTGATTCATGAAGAAGAAGGTTGATCTCTAGAAGGTGAATTCAGATCAGCGAGATTGTAGTCTGTCTTGTCAAGTGTTGGTTCTAATTGATCTTTGGAGATTGGAATCGGATCTGAAAAATCCTGATACATTCACCGAGTTTAGATCTGGCGAGTTCACAGCAATAATAGAATCATTAGATTGCGGATCAACTCTGGTATAAAGAGATCAAAATTTCACTGGTTTGAGGCCAGATCTAGCGAGTTCGCATTAGCAGAGGTCAGATCTAATCAGGAATTCACGGTTGATGACTCTGCTTCGATCAGGAACGATGATCGGAGGTGAGAGTTTTAATCCACATGAGAATGGCCAGCAGATGAAGCTTGATGAGCTGTTGAGCATGATCGACACCCTGAGAAGAGATAATACAGAATTGCGAGCTGGAATAGAGCGTCGGGAAGCTCAGACAATTCCACGACCATCTCCAGTAGGGGAGAAGGGTATGCAGCCTGACGTTGTACACCAGGGCGAGCAGGAAGACAATGATCGCGTGGATCTTCACTGCAAAGAGATCAGACCAGGCGATTTACTGCCAAATGCTCGTCACGTGGAGGATCGAAAAGGATCTATCTATCTGGATCCGCATCGTGAGCGGATTAGGCAAGAGGAAGCTATGGTATTTGATCCGTATCACGAATTCATTAGGAGTAGAAGTTGTTCGTGCTGAGCGGGGATCAGTTTACTTCATTCTTCCGATTCTACATAGAAGATTCTTTTATGCTTCGCTCTTCAGTTGTAGACAGTTATTGCTGTCACTTGTTCAAATTGGTTTTTAGGGGTCCACACAGTATGGATTCCCAAGTTGTATTAATGGAGGATTTATTATATCAAAATGATTTTATTATTAATGAAAATTTATTAAGAGGTTTTATTATTGGATTTTTCTTTTAGTTTTCTTTCAGTAAATTATATATTCCTATTTATTCTTTTGTACTCTGTGTTCGTTTATTATCGATTTTGTTTTTGATATCCTCGGGTATTCGGGCGTGGACCTGGCCAATCCGCATTCGAAAATCCGGGGGTATCACAAGTAGAGCCCATTGGAATGATAGAACTGTCAGTACAAGCTGCTGAAAGAGTTCTAACAGAGAGTTTTGTGGTCGTTGAGATCCATCCGTCTTACAATCTCTTGATGAGAAGAGGGTGGATCCATAGGGTCCAAGGTGTCCCATCAACGTCACACCAGGTGATGAGGTGTTTGAGCTCGGATGGGAGCAGGGTGATTGACAATCATGGAGTTCAGGTTGCAACCAAAGAATGTTGTTTCATGGCAATAAAAGCTGCTAGAAAGGGAAAAGCTCCAGCTCGATCTGACAGTCCGAGATAGCAATAACAGGAACCTCCCCCCAAAGTGATCGGGGGGAGGATGAGCCTTTCATTTTTACCGATGAGCCCCTCATCGATGTACAGATAGATCTTCATAAGCCAGATAGAACAACAAGGGTTGGGTCAGGGCTTATAGAGGGGGGGAAACAGCAGTTAATCGACTTCCTGTCTCAGAATGTAGATGTGTTTGCTTTGAGCCATTCAGACATGCCAGGGATTAGTCCCTCCGTGTCTTGTCATTCCCTCCATGTAGATCCGAACGCTGAGCCTATAAGACAGAAGCAAATAAGGTTTGCCCCGGAGCACAATCAAGTTATAGCTAATGAGATTGATCGGTTTCCAGATGCAGGATTCATCAGAGAAGTTTAGTACCTGGCTTGGCTCTCAAATGTAATTGTTGTGCAGAAGAAAAATGGGAAATGGAGAGTGTGTATTGACTTCACCAATCTGAATAAAAACATGCCCAAATGATACGAACGGTGGATGCCATCAGTGGATACGAACGATTAACCTTTTTTGATGCTTACTTAGGCTATAACCAAATCCCTATGGACCCGAATGATGAAGAGAAAACTTCTTTTGTCACCGAACTAAGAATCTACTGCTACAAAGTCATGCCGTTCGGACTAAATAATACTGGAGCTACTTATCAAAGGTTGGTCAGCAAGATTTTCAAATATCAGATGGAAAAGACCGTGGAGGCTTATATTGATGACATGGTGGTGAAGAGCAGGAAAAAGGACGATCAATTGGAGCATCTGCGCAATGTGTTCGGTGTGTTGAGGAGGTATGGAATGAAGCTAAATCCAACCAAGTGCTCGTTCGGCGTGGGCTCAGAGTAGTTCCTGGGACACGTTGTCAATAATAAAGGAATTGAAGTTAGCCCAGCTCAAGCAGAAGCTCTGATCAGAAATGCAAAACCAAGAACGATCAAAGAAGTGCAAGCACTCACCGGTCGAATAACCGTGCTGAGTCGATTCATTTATAAGTTGTCAGATCGCTGTAAACCGTTCTTCGACACAACAAGAGGCCATGGAAAGCAGGCCTGGGGGGATGAATAACGACAAACACTGACCAGCTTGAAAGAGTATATGCGGAACCCTCCAGTCTTGTTTGCCCCCGAGCCAGGTGAAAAGCTCTTTTTGTACCTTGGTGTGTCCAGCATCGCAACGAGTACTGTCCTGGTGCACTGTGAAGAAGGTAAGCAATTCCCAGTGTTTTATGTTAGCAAAACAATGGCCGAGCCGAAGAGACGATATTCAAAGGCCGAACGAGTGATCCTCTCGTTAGTAAATGCAAAGAAGAAACTCAGGCAGTACTTTGAATCCCATCCAATCATCGTTTTGACCGCCCTTCCTGTAAGGGTGATCATGTATAAGCCAGACCTGTCAGGGAGAATAATGAAGTGGGCCATAGAGTTGAGCTCATTTGATATAATGTATGAACCCAGAATGGCATCAAAGG